TGCTTTGTGCTTCAGGGTATGAGCCAGTGCTCCTTCCCAAAATACACTATCATGGAGGGCACAAAGAGGTGCATTGTGGAAGATTTTTATTTTCACAGAAGCATTGGGCAATAGCCATTGTCAGAGTCAGGTTATCCAACTGGTCTATATGCCTGTGGGAAAAACACCATGTTTACATGGAACTGGAAAGAGCAGCAGATGCAGATATGAATTCTAGTGTTAAATACAAAGCCATTCCTAATTAAACCAAGCAGTGTCCATGGGAAAAGTAAGGGCCTAGAGGAGATCACGTATAATTCAGGAAGGCATACTTTGTGGGCTGAGGTTCATTAATAAACTGGAATGCATCCCATTGTGATAGAGCTCGATTCCTAGCTCTGAGATTCTGTCAGAATTGATGATCATAGCAGATCACTTAATGTAACATGGAAATCCAGGATATATTCTGCATCTAAGAGCACAGTAAACCTTGAGAGGGTGAACCCCATAACTTGAGCTGGATACTGGTACCTCTGGGCAGTGAATACAAGTCTTTAGAGAGGCAGCTCTCCCCCCTTGTGCTATGGAAGTAGCCAGCTCCTAGATACTAGAAACCTGATTCTCCTCTCAGACTATTGCAGCAGTGTAACTCCATTGACCGCAGTGGAAGTACTCCCCAGTTATGCTGGCACAACTATAAGTCACAGTCAGACTCTAAAGCAGTGCTGGTTTGTTGTTGAATGTCCTACATAGCACAGACTGTGACAAGACTCGTACTGTTGCTGTTTCTGGTAAAAAGGCCCCTTTGTGTCCCTAAAATCAATGTTCATAAACTGTATTTAAATCCTATCCTGCTCCTGGTGTACATGTCAGTGTATCTTTTCTTCAATACGAAAGCCCTGTGGGCAGGGAGACAAACATAGCTCTTTACCGGTTTTCTATAAAGTTGAACAAAGAAGTTTATAGGTAGTTAAGGATTTGGAAGTGACCTATGATTTTACTCTGTTGTTGACCATTTGGTTCCACTGCACTTTTGGATATAAGGGGACCTAAACATTTGTGGTAATTAAGTGGTTTTGGGTTCTCTTTGCAGGATCCTAATGAAAAATCATTGTTCATTAACCTCTGCAGGTGGAAAAGGGTCCCAGCTCCTAAGTCACCTACTGATCCAATACCTCTACGTGCTGGCTCACTAGAGGAGGTGTCCGATAAAGCAGGCAAGTACATAATGGGTTCCAAAATACTCTTTGTACGTGCCACAGTTAGGACGCTTTCCTCTCATTTCTGTAGTATTGTATTGGCAAGGCAAAGACATAACTTTGGCAAAGAGCAGTCCTTTTGGAATGCCATTGGCTGGCTTATAGCTTGCAACTTGAAGGTGGAGGAGGCATAGACTGAACCCAAAGTAAAATCAGTTGTTCCTTCTGAAAAAGCAGAACATCACACTAAATGCTTAAGTGCCTTGCAGGATTGGGGCTTTAGCGCGTGTACCAATCTTTAAACACACGAGTAGTCTCAGTTCCATTAAATGCAGGGAAATTACTTCCATGCTTAACTTTACACATGTACATAAGTGGTCTGCTGGATGGGAGTGGTATTTTCTGTAGGTCAGTTTTCTGGAACCAGCTCCTCATAGGAAACCACAGATCAAGCCACTCCCCTCTTCATATTATTGATTCTTCAAAACATTCAATAATGAAAAGCATCAAAATTATTCTTAATATAGGTTACCCCTCCTGTAGCTATGGCAGATGGTGTATTCTATCCCCTATAAAACAGATTGTAGCAGTACAGCAATAATTTTTGACACTCATTGTTTTTCTAGAGATTTACTCCATCATAGATATTGCATATAATCCGACTGTTCTTCAGCGAGAGGAGAACCAAGCAGAAATGGATCACTTGATCCGTCTGACATTTAAATACATTGCGGAGCATTACAACCTCTCTCTCTCCCACTCTTACCACATTGCAACATTCACACTCAAAGGAAGCCTGAAAAGGATGAAACAGAGTCTGGGAGGAGGGCCACTACCAGCTCCACTTTTCAACAAGAACGTGAGGAATGGTACGTACACTTTTTAAATTACTGTCAAGAAATGGTGTAATGGAAATGGGAAAGGTCCTGTCCATGTGAGGGGTGGCTACAATGTTACTTTCCATCTCCATGAAACCTAAAGGATATTGAAACTGACTTGTACCCTGTTCCTGCGAGATGCTGAGCATCTTGCAGGCTTGGGCCCAGTAGAATCAGGCCTTTGTGGTGTCACTGTAAGGTACAGAACACTGGAAACTTGAGTTTCAATCTTGTACCTACTTACAAATAAAATTGGAAATGAGGAATGAAGATGGAAAGAGCTCCATGAAATTAGTATACAAGCTGTAGCAGCTGAGTTCATAATCACAAAGCTGAGACTTAAGTTTTGGCACATTTTGCCAACTGGTATAAATCCATCAGTTAAACCTACAGCTAAACTATTTCTAAGATGATATTTTAGTAACTACCTGTGTGACTAATATTTTTTCTGGAAGAACTGACACTGGACCAGATGAAGCACAACCTCAGAGAGGAGGATCACAATAATGCTACACTGCTGCTGAACAAGGATGTTACACAGTCTAAAGTGCATCTGATAGAAGAGATTGCCAGTATGGAGCTGCCAGAGGAGCCAATCACACCTGCCTATGAACTGACCATTGCAAAGGATTCAAATGGGAAACCTCTAAAGATTGAACTGAAAGTTGAATTGCCTAAAGTTAGTTCCGTTTCTGAATGTGAACTGAGCATTTCAAGGGTAAGTTTTGCAGGAATGAAAACCTGTGTTTTCTCTCTGTTGAACCCAAACAGGCTTAGAAAGTCACTTAAACTAACACATATACTTGCTCACGGAGTATTTTAATTTGCCTGTTTTAGGATGATGTAATCGTTGAAGTCCCTGAAAAATACAGATTACAGCTGGATTTGCCAGAATTGGTTGATGAAGAAGCAACTACAGCAACATTTAACAAAAGGAAAGGTGTGTTGCTTATCATAATGCCAATTTCCTAAAGAAAATGTTAGGGACAGCAGGTTCTCACACAGTTAGTGGGTATGTGTCACTCTTAAAGATTAAAAGAAAGGTTAATGGTAAAGATCTTACCAATATGTAGAAATCAGTATCTGTGTTATTCTAAGTATCTGTTTTGCTGTCTGTGCACACAATTTCCTTTAGAGAACAGAGGGTGATGAAGTTTATAGAGAGGAAGTGTACAGTATATAGAGTAGGAAGGAATTCTTAATACAAGTTGTAAGCATTTAAGGGTTACTTAGATCATTTTATCTCTAACACGATTCTACATCATAAACTTTACTACCATGTCCAGTTTGTCAATCAGTAGAGCAATAAAGGGTGATAAACTTTGAAGAAATTGTGTTTTCCTTTCTGGTTTTACTCTGCTGAAAAAACTCTTATCCGGTGTTAGCAAACTGTTTCTTTTTAAATAGAGGATTTAATTCTGGTGAAAGATGGTGACATTGATGATGCATGACATGTAACAGTGCAAGCTCTCCCCCAACCTGGCTTCTCTTTCAAATAGAGCTGTAGGGGTTACCTTTAAAAGGTGAGATGAGCAGTCTCCAAAGCCAATTCAGTCACTGGCTCCTCTGCTGATACTACTGAGGGCAGCTGTGCACTAAGAGTTAGCCTTAACCCACCAATGCAATGGTAGTGCAATCTCAGCAGAACTAGGCAACATAACAATAGTGCTCTAGAACTAGTCTGCCAATTCAAAGACTATTTACATAATGAATATGAAAGCTCAAGAACCCTATGAATGAAGGTATCTACCAAAAGGGTTTCTCTACTATAAACACTTCCCAAGTGCTATATGTCTGTGGTGCCAGCTAGCATTCATGAAGAAAACAAGCCAATGCAGGTGAGATAACATTAAAAATGAGTACTTCAGAGGTTGGACAAGGTAGGCCAGCAGTCAAGTTGTCTTACAAAGGCAATAATGATCATATTCTTTCGAATATGGAATTATTTTTCAGACTGGAAGCGAGGAAATAAAGCATCAATTTCATGATGCCTTTTTGGTAAGTAATTTGATATCACAATGTACTCACCCCTTTTATGCCAGGCTGTACCCACTTTAGCTTTACATTACTCTCCTCCATTACATCATATAACAATATGGCAAAGGAATAACCATGTTTTAAAATAGATCAGAAATTAGAACAGACAGGTTAGAAATGTATAATTGTATTTTATGGGGAGGGATAGCTCAATGGTTTGAGCATTGGCCTGCTAAACCCAGGGTTGTGAATTCAATCCTTGAGGGGGCCACTTAGGGACCTGGGGCAAAATCAGTACTTGGTCCTGCTAGTGAAGGCAAAGGGCTGGACTCGATGACTTTTCAAGGTCCCTTCCAGTTCTAGGAGATAGGATATCTCTATATATTATTATTAAATTTTAACAGACTAATTTACTCATGAGCCACAATTCTTAGTTTTCCTCCATTTTTGTTCTGAAACAGTCACAAGGATTGCATTTAAAGACTGTCTTTCTATAGTTATAGGTCAGACTGAAAAGTGTTCATGTACGTGAGGTGCCCTAGTTGGAGTGTATAGCATGCAACAGGGCACTGCAACACACAGCCAACTACAAACAAAGGATCATTCTGCTGTTCTGCAACCTGTTCCCCAGTCAGGCTCTCAATAAGACAGTGGTCCTTTGGCACAAGGTAGTTCCTGTTTTGATTAATTTTCAGGTTATTATGGGGATGGGATAACAAGAGTGTCCAGGATTTCCTTAACCAGAATTCTAAGTACACAGTGGAGTCAGAAACATAAATCATCCAAGTCCAGTGCTGCATGATGGTGGCTTAACAAAGATGTTACTGAATCACTTATGGCTGGAAATCTTAAGGTTAATAGGGTAAGTTGCATTTGCCCAACGAAACGGGCTGACAACTTGGATAGACTGTGCACTAGCAGTGAGGTGAGCAGCACCCACTACTAAACAGAAAAAGCACTGGGACAATTTTTATTTGTCTAACAATTCCAAAGGTTTAATAGAACACATGGACTCACTAGAGAATCTGGAACTGAGAGAATTAGAACATTTTTAAACTTAAGTGCAACAACTTTTCTTCTTACCCAACCATCAAAGTTAGGCATAACTGCAACCCACCAAGTAAAACGTTAAATAGTTCTCACAAAAATATTTCATCTCCACAGTATATTTTTTCAGTATTACCTTTAGTGGATTCTGTAGCACAACTTTACAAGAGACAATACTTAATGCAATGTATAGGGTACAGAATAAGTTTCTATATAGAATTTATTTAACCTTTTGTTCCTACCAAGCTCTCCTGGTCACTGATCAACTACATGATCCTTTTTAAGTTAACATTTCCCTTTGGAAAGTGGAATATTGGGAGTGGCCACCAATGTATCCCCGCACTGTAGGACACAATTTTTAGTGTATTTGGGTACAAGTCCAATAGAAAACCATTTAAAGCATTTTACATACATTATATACATGGGACAGCACAAAGGCTGGGACAGTAAAGACATTTCATCGAAGAATTGTGATATCAATGACCTCAACTCATGTCAGAGATTCCTATGTCAAGAATGTCTGAAAAACCAATTTTCAAGCATCCAAGTCATCACAGAAATGATTTCCAGGGATGGAATTCCAATGGCCAAATTACACATGCTAATAATGGGTATCAACACACATAGCAAGAAATTCTCCTGACTGTTCTGCAGAACATTTCCATTGCAATAGGGTGTATTGTTAACATTGCAAGAGGGAAAGCAGCCATTTAAGATAATTTCATACAAAAATACACACGTGAAAATCCACAAGGATAGGGCATGTTCTCTGGCAATTAGAAGATATTTGATTTATTGTTTTGATAGCCTGATTAGTGTAACTTCTCTCTTGCCCCCCCCCCTTTTTTTTAAAGTCCTCTAAAAGAGATCACGTAGCTGTGAAAATCTGAGCTAGTGTTGAATTTCAAGGAGGAATTGGAATGTGAACCCTTTGTCCTATGAAAAAATATTCCTCCTCTCAGTGTGTGCCTGTCACTCGCACTAATACTAGCAGGAGAACAGACCACTTAGGGTTCACTTAAAAAAAAAACTAGCCTTACAAATTCTTTTGCACAGATGTTTACAGTCTGGTTCTCTTATTTCTGAGAACACAAGAGATGATATATCTGTGTATGCTCCCCGCCCCAATTCAGGAGTGTTCACATGATTTTAAATCTAAAACACTTGACTTTTTTTGAGAAACATTGGCAAATTCATTAACTGTATAAAATACAGTATAACTGTATATTGCTCTGTAAAGCCTTCTGCAAACTATTTATCTGTACAGACTGGTAAAAATTACCAGTTAATATACATATTTAAAATAAAAAGGAAAATTTGTTTAATAGAGTCTAATCACTGAAATATAAATAGCTTGATTAGAACAGAACAATGTGACCTAGGAAAGTCTTGGTTGTTTGGTTCGATTATAGCAGCATGGTTGTTGGCCTTTCAAGGAACTTTTTGAACTCAGCAAGCCACTGGGCTCCAACTGCTCCATCCACAACTCGGTGGTCACAACTAAGAGTAACTGACATCATGCTGGCCACATCAAACCTGGGAAGAGAAACAGAATACCATATTTCGCACTCTGCAAGTTGGTTAGCAGAGATTTGTCAGCCAGTGATATTTACACACCACCCAGGACTTTTATAAAAGATAAACACCAAAGGGTGTTAGTCTTGTAGTACTCAGATCTACATTTATATCTCCACAAATGCTTATGATGAAGATCTACATGATAGAGTAGATCATATCCTTCATTTTCTGAAATTAGGTGATCCCTTTGGAACATGCAGTTCATTTTATTTAATAAAATGCAAATACATTCATGATAAAACTTCACTCCACCTCCATGCTAAGTCGCCCTCGAGGCCTGTCTACCTCAGGGTGAGTTTTCAGGCAGTAAGACTGACTTATCTATACAACGCATCATTCATTTGCTCACCAGATTCAAAAGTCTGCACTGTGCCAGTCAAAATTTACCAACAAAATATGGTCCTGTGAGAAAGGCACTAATCTAGGATTTAGGAGACAAAGGTTCAATTCCTTCTTCTGCCACACATTTCCTGTGCAACCTTGAGCAAATTATTTACTCTCCGTGCCTCAGGCCCCCATCTTACAGATGGGGATAATAGGACTTCCCTATCTCACAGGGACATTGTGCGGGGAAATACATTAACGATTGTGAGATGGTTGGATAATATGGCAATGGGAGCCACATAAGTACCTAACATAGCTAAACTGAAAACAGATAGATAAGATTTGCCTATAACTGTATTTAAAATTATGATGTATCAAAAGCAGCTCGTGAAGCGCAACAGTTGCACTGTGCAATACTGCAAAATATTGATCATTTGATGGGGAAATTAGAATCCTAGCCATTATTCCAAAATAAATGTCACCTGTTTGAAGAGTTAACTGAATCTGGATAATGCTCTATTTAATACTTACCCCTTCTCATTATTTGCTGGCACTAGCCTGTTCTCTGAAGTACCAACTGCCAGAATACATGCCTGAGGTGGATTGATTATGGCAGAGAAATTCTTAATCCCATACATTCCTAAATTGGAAACCGTAAAAGTGCCTCCCTACAGGAAATAAACACACAGATTAATATATGGGACTTCCCAAAAGTCACTTCACACAGCATGTTAATTAACATGGCTACACTTGATCATTTACTTGAAAGTTCCTGTTCTGAAGCAGTCAATTGACTGATATGTCATGAAATTGTTGAATTTTTTTCTTTCTTTAAAGTTGGGAACAATCACAGCTGCAGTAATTACTAATACACCAAGCGCCTCACCTGGAATTCGTGGGGCTGAAGTTTACCTTCTCGTGCTTTGGCTGCCAAAGAGGCAACATCTTTACTAATGGAAGCCAGTCCCTTTATGTGCGCATTGAACACGATGGGAGTTATAAGCCCTGCAGGAGTACTCACTGCAATGCTAACATCCACTACATGATTTCTGTAAGACACAATGGAGACACAACCCAGATTACTTGAGCAGGACACAAAGATTTTTTTGAAAGCATTAAAGCCACCTTGTATAAACGAGTAGTTACTGTCAAGTCCATTAAATCTAGTGCCCAGGCCTCACTCACAAGGGCACTTGAAGAAAAGTATATGAAGTATTGAGAATCCCGAGTTTTACACTGCAGCTGCTCCCATTCCTGACAGCCTTTATGAGATCCTGCCAAAAGCCTGGGAGAATTGCTCCATTTTGCTATTAACACCATACTGAATAAAGTTACTAGCTACATTTGGACCATATACTTACTGCCTGATAACAGTGTCCAACCATGAGGAATTGGCTTCAGGCACCTTCACACATGCCAGAGCTGAAGCTTTAATGATGAAATCATTGACAGAAAGCTTAACGTTCTCTGACACCTCCTGTAAAGAGAAGACAGAGGTTTGAAACGTCAGTGATTTACTCACTCCTTATAGTCACCACAAAAACGGAATTAGTTTGCATAAACACGAGACCACACAGCCTGTTTACACTTGCTGCGTGACCCCATCACAGTCAATCTGGCACATCTCTAAGAGGAAACAACATCTGAAAGTGTCTTAAGCCCATTTAACATTTGCGTCTCCCCCCTTGTAGTCTGAGAAGCAGCATTCAGTTTGGGGATATGTGTTATCTTCATTCCGCCAAAAGAAAAAACTCGGCTCAGAAGCAGCATCTTGTTTACGGTTTGATACTGTTCTTTATTCTATTTTCTAACTGAGGCAACAATAGTAAAAGAAAGCTGTGCAGGTTGTCTAGGATTCAATGTGATCTGGTTGGGGAACTCTGAGCACACAATGGGCAGTGTTTGGATGAATAAGACTTCTCCACACACTGTCACAAGAGGGTCAAGACTTGAATAGCAGGAGGCAGCAAACTTTGGATGCGAAGGAACCCGTTCTTCCCAAGTCCAGCTGGCTCAACACTGAAGAACAGACGCAGGAGGCTCACCAGACTGGTTATCTACCTGTCCGCTCAGACCCACACCACAACCCTTCAGTAGTGTTACCTTATTAAGTTCTTTCCTGAGCTCCAGTATTTCTCCCACATTTATATCGATAGATAGATAGTAGTGAGGTATTGTTTGTTTAGACTGCATCAAACGCTGAGCAATGACCTGAAGGGAAACAGAGCAGGTCATTAAAACACAACACACTTTGCAAAATGGGTTTCCATCCAAGTTAAAAGTAGGGCTGACAATGCACGCCACTGTCTTAGATGCACACGTTATAGCACAATTGGGTTTGGTCCAAGTGTCTTTGGAGTTGCTACATAAAGACCACTGAGCAACAGACAATAGCCAAAAGACCAATATAAGGATTTTGCATTTTTAAAACTGCTAGAATTTATACCCCTACTCTCATTGTGTTCTCCTAGGCTTCTGCTGGATGGAGCAGAGGAAAACTTTGTTATCGTAATTTGGGAAGCATCTTAGTTTTGGGGACATTGGTCCTAACTGTTATTTGTATTTTAGAGAAATTGTACATGAGGCCAGAAACGTTGTATGGATGCATTTTTATAAACACAATAAAGCAGTTGCTGTATATAAAAGGCACCTCCACAAGAAGATCTCGCGCTCCCCTTCCAATGAAGTTCATTACACTAGAAAAGAGAGATTCGGCTAACAGGAATGGTTGTCCATTATAAGGCACCAGACACCTGGAGACACGTCACCCGACTATAAATCACTAATGGCAGTAAAAATGAGAGTGGGATTTTGCTTCAACTTTCATTTCTCGAGATGTGGGTGGATCTCACCCTAGTCCTTTTTTTGGGTACATCAACCACCATGACATGATTTGGCCCAATTGGCCGTCTGCTCGAGGTGCAAACTGGGATAGAAGAGTTGCTGCAGATTAAGGCTGAGGTGCATTGACAAAGCTGTGGACAGGGAGAGACCTCGCAGGTCAGAATGGAGGTGCATCAGCAAAGCTGCAGGGGGGGAAGCTTGCTCAACACCTGCCAGTTCTATGCCTTGCTCAAGCCAGCGCTATTAAATCACTTCTTCTACCAGGTTCCCTACCCTTCAGCATCCAATTGGCCCTCCAGGTTAAAAGGGACCTTAGTCAACAGTGGTTAAATGTTTAATGTTTCTGGAAATATTCCTATGTGTAAATACAATCTCCTCTTTAAAGGGAGAGAAAGAAGGAAAACCTCTTACCCTCCGAACATTACTTATGGGGATATCTGTGAAGACGCCTGAAGGAGGTGGTGCTGCTGTTGGAGCTGCAGGTGCAATAGGGGCTGCCTGGGCCTATATGCAAAGAGAGACACAGACAGACATTGTTCAGATGTGAGCTGGGGTTTGTAAGATACTAGAAATCAGCATTACGGAGACGAGCTTTGGGATAACTCCAGTGAATAAGGCTGTGGTGGAAAACAGATTACTGAAATATGGCTACTCTCCCCGTTTCCAGGTCACCTTCTTTAATAAGCAGAAGGCACTCCTATAGCTTCCTACCCTAATGCATTTTAAGTGATTCACAAACCCAAATGTTAAGGCCTTAATAATGATGTGGTGTTTGTGGGTATAAGAAACATATGGTATTGATATCTGTAGCTACTATATTCTAATTAAGGACTGGTAATAAATATTAGTGATAGGTACCAGCCTATAAGGTTACAGCTACAAAGCAGAACTCCGTCAGATAATGATTGGAAAGTAAGGATGACTGCAGGAGACTTTCAGTTTTTAATATTGGACTTCCTTTGATTTTCCCCTCCTAAGCTGCATTCCTCCAGGCATCCCCACTCCATCAGCTGTTCTGTTATTATGGTAATGGGGACCATATAAATACCTGGAGAGGCAGGATGTGCTTCTGCAGCAAAATTCCAAAGTGACAAATTAAAAAAGGAGAACATCTTGTCTCACGTTTCTGAAGTCCTACACATGCGGACTCCCCAACACTTTCAGATACAACATTCCACACTGTCCAATCACCAGCACAACTGTCAGTCTTCAGAAAGGCCGTACTTCACCTGCTGGTTGCAGTCTTCAGCTGCTTCCAAAGAACAGCAGGTAGCTCTACACTTCTGTCATAACAACTACTAATGCAGTAGTACAAGATCTCACAGATTTCAGTCCTACTCACAGGGACAATCTTTGGAGGCACAAATGACTCAATATCTTTCTTCGTGATTCTGCCATCTGGTCCAGTACCTGGTGGAGGGACATGTGAAATGTAAGATGATTTCATGCAATGCCATATTGGGAAAATGCAAGTTAAAATGAAACCCATTCCCTTTCTAACCTAGTCACTTAGCACAGCAATTGGACATTCAGCTGTAATCCATGACCAGAAAACATTTTCCATGGACTGTGAGGGAATGGACAGCTCAGCACACATCTAAGGGCAGCAGAGACTTGGATAAGAACGGAAATGGCAACTCACCTTTCACCTGCACAATGTCAATTCCTCTTTCTGCTGCCAATTTCTTCGCCAGGGGGCTAATTATTACCCTTCCTTTATGTGCGGGAGCCCCAGGTGATGTGACTGCTGGAGCTGAAGGGGCAGTGGGCTGGGGAGGAGGAGCTGCTGCCTTAAGAGAATGGGTTAGACACAGTCATTAGCTGCACAGACATTCAGCTAAAGTCTTAACGTTTCACTTAATAAGTATGAGAAGATTTAACATGCAAAGAGAACATGGGCATCTGGTTACCAGAAACCAACTAGAGAATGTTCACAGATCAGCAACAAAAGTGATCAGGGGCTGATTTAGGAGATTAAGGAAGAGAATGAGAGATAAATCAGCAGAACTGTGGCTAGAGTGAGGATCAGAGGTGGGGAACATAATACTACAGGTATGGGGGAGAAGAATTATTTAGGAAGGTACAGAGAAATAGATGACATTATTTAGTCTATCAGAATGCCTTTCTGGGAGTGCAACTGATTAGGTTGTGGAATCATCTCCCAGAGGAAGGGGCAGTAAGTGACTTGTATCCCCATCATTTCATAGATTCATAGATGCTAGGACTGGAAGGGACCTCGAGAGGTCATCGAGTCCAGTCCCCTGCCCTCATGGCAGGACCATTTGGGGCATTTAAAACTAGAACGGGCAGCGGTCTGAATTACAGACATAGGGAACAACCTCCATCAGTTCCCAGAGGATAGCTAACTTGTGCTAACAGGTTGTATCCATCTCACATTATCCTTTCACTCATGAAACCACAAACACATTATTGGAGTTCAAGCTTCACAAGGTCCAAAACAGCAGGATTATTCAGGTTAGATTAGCAACTGCTAATGGTCCCCTCAACTTCTCTTCCCCATCAGAGATAGTCTTTACCGGAGGGGGAGGACTCGGTAGTGGTGCTTGTGGTTTGATGTCAGCTACTCCAGTCTCTCTGTAGTCAGCAAATGCTGGAATATCAGACTCCTTCTCCACAATGATGCAGAGTGGGGTTCCTAATGGCACATCCCTTGTTCCTTCAGGCACCATAATTTTTGCCAGGTAACCTTCTTCCTGCACTTCAAAGCCTTAAAAGAAAATGACTGATGAATGCTGGGGAAGATCAAATAACCAGAAGGTTGGCATTGATGTCTCACAATCTCAACACACTGGCACAATGAAGAGTTCTTCTAGATGTTGCTTTCAGTCTCCCTCCCGTAACTAAATCCCTGCCACTTTTTAACAGATCTTTAAAACAACACTGAATGGGGAGAAGTCTCCACATACCGCAGGTCTAACACAACAGGGCTGATGCAAAGCTGGGAGCTGCTATTAGCAGCTCCATCACCTAGAACTACAAGAGGACAGGAAATAGCTTTAAATTGCTTCTTTTATGTTGCACCAAGGCCTACTGCTCTTTGCAGCTGGAAGAGAAGAGGCTGGTTTGAAGCTCTACTGTGGATCACGCTCTCTCCAGAGGTTATAGAACAATCTATGGTCCCTCTCAGGGTTAGAGATTTCTCACCTATCGTGGCTTTGTCTGTTTCAATTTCTGCCAGTAAGTCTCCTTCACTGAGTTTCTCACCAACCTTCTTCTCCCACCTCTGAACCGTGCCCATTGTCATCGTAGGCGAGAGAGCAGGGAGAAGAATCTATGGAGTCAAAAGAATGCGAGCGTATCATAACAGATAACTGAAAGCCAACAGGAACAGGAGCATGACTTCAAATCCAACAAGCGTGTTACCCTTGAGAATGAGCCAGCACCAATATGTTCCTGGGCCTGCCTAACCCAACGGAGCAGGGTGCGATGCTGCTGCTGCCAGATCTCTGGTTTAGCTTCTTTAAACAAGACTTAAGTTAAGGAAGAAAATTGAGAGGCAACAACTGAGGGATTTTCCTGTTGGGATTCTGCTTTGCCTGTTTAGTGCTAGTAAATAATCATCACCTAGCACTTATATAACACTTTTTATCTGTAGAGCCCAAGTGATGGGGAAATTGAGACACAGATAAGTGGAGTGCCTTGTCTGAGGTCACACAGCAAGTCAGTGGCAGAAATAGAAATAAAACTCCCAATTCCCACAACAGGTGAGGTTCCCCCAACTCCATTTGGAATCTCACTCCTTAACACAATGCTATGAAAAACGAAGGGGTGGGTGGATGGGAAGAGTTATGCTGGGAGTGACACACCCTGGCCCTCAGAGCAGTCAGGTACTCCAGTGATAGGCACTTTAGATATGCGTGAAATAATAATGATGTGTACAATTTTGCAAGACCAAAGGGGCCATACAAGTACTTAAGATAAAGAAACATAGGATACTGTAGTAGTACTAGGCAGTCACAGAGATACCTCAGCATCTAACCACATTAGAACTAACCAAGCACAACTGTTTTCAAAGCTTAACTGATTGGAGTCCCCCCGCCCGAAGCCCATTTTAAATCTGTAGGATAGATCGACTGACACACTCCTGCAGCTAGAGCTAATAAGGCCCATGGTTTGTATCTACATCACAGTGCCCAGGAGTTAATAGTGTTAGACAGACAGAAGACAGACACTGAAGAATAGTTCACTGAGGGTATGTACATGCCCTACCTGCATGTGAGGAGGGTAGGAGCTGCCTGGAGCCTGCACAGAGGGCTGAGCTGGTGGGGGGGGAGCTGCTGCTGAAGGGAGAGGCACTGAGGCTGCTGGAGCAGCAGATGCTGCAGAATCCAAGGTAAAATTCTTAAAGGCATCAATAAACTCAGGCCTAGAAGAGGAGCGAAAGGAGCCATGAAGACAACATGGAAGATAACATGCCTAATGCTTCATCCAGGGCACCCAAACCACCAGGTTCCCAAGACAGCACTCTACTGAGATGTGATCGATTTACTTACTTTTCAACTGTGATACATATTACAGACCCAATGGGAACATCCCTTGTCCCTTCTGCCACCAGGATCTTGGCCAAGTAACATTCTTCCAGACTCTCAAACCCCACAGTCGCTTTGTCTGTTTCCACCTTTGCAAAAAGAGAACGATCTTGTTATGGCCACACGCACACACACACAAAAAAGAAGGCTTCACATCAGCTCAGAATCCACCAGTCTGATGTTTGTGGGTGAAGTTCCCTGGCATATAAAGCCATGGTGAGAATCATCTCAGCTGACAGCAGCAACTTGGCTGAAAGGGAAGAGAGACTGTAGAACAAATGAGGTTCAATCCCTCTCACAAGTAGCTAAGAAACAGCAGGCAACTCTGAGGGGTAGTGGGGTTGTGGCTGTTTTTAATCACTTCAATAAAGTGGCTTCAGAAGATTAATATTAATTTTTATTATCTGTATTTCACAGTACCTAGGAGCCCCAGACATCGATCAGGACACCGCTGTGCTAGGTGCTGTACACACACAAAACACAGAGAGGGTCCCTGCCCCAGATAACTTACAATCTAAGCATGAGAGGGGCCAGATGGATAGACAGACTGACAGAGGAGTACAAGGAAACAATGAGACAATATATCAGCATGACAGGCTGTGGTCTCAGCCCACCAGCAGCCTATCTGTGGTCAAATTTTATGTAGCCCTCACAGCAAATGAGAATTTTAAGAAGAAATCTGAAGGCAGAAAATGAGTTAGTTTTGTGGATGTTTATGGGGAGCTTCTCCCAAGCCTGAGGGGCAGCACAGGAGAAAGTACAAAGGTGCTTGTTTGAAAATGTAACAAGTGGGTAATGGAAGCTGGCATTATGGCTAAACAGAGGCAGGAGTCAACCTTCCAATGCTGAATCAGAGACAATGGCTAAGGGTGAGGAAAGGACATTTATGCCCGTTTGGGGTGACTTGTAACAAAATCCAGGGCATGCACTTAGTACGGAGACAATTTTAGAGACTATAGCCTGCCTCGTCCCCTGGTTATGGTGCAACTTCCCACCCCACCAGAAAGTGAGATGCTCAAGGGGAGGGCCCCCCCAGAAGAACTGGCCCTTGGTACCCCATAACTGGGGCCATCCTGGTTAGGGGCGACCTCTCCACGGTACCTCTGCAATCAGATCTCCCTCGCTGATCTTCTCCCCTTCCTTCTTCTCCCACCGAGCGATAGTCCCCATCTGCATTGTAGGGGAAAGAGCCGGCAAAGGCACCTGCAAAAGAACAACCCAGCCATAGCGCAAGGGACCCTAGAACACCTTCCACCAAGAGAGGCGAGAGGCCAGTCAATGCTCTTGAATCCAGAAACAGTCAAGGGGTCCAACAATAAAACGGCCATAATGCTCAGGCAATAACAGTCTCACGTTTATTCGTCCCAAGGTGCTTCGTAACTCAGAGTGACTCCGGGGAACTGCTCGCCCGCTTGAGCTCTAAAGGGCAGCTCCCGACTGGCGCACACTGGAGCGGTGGGGAAGGGGCACGCAGACAAGGGCAAATCCCAACTCGGCAGCAGATGACCGGGCTAGCGGCCAGTGGGATCTAGGGGTGCCACAGCCTGCGGGTTCGGGGGCCTAGGAACAGGAGAAGGGCCCGGCCAGCGAGTCTGAGAGAGGGGGGGCTGGGCTGGGGCTGTTTCCATCTCACGGGGGCTTTGCAGGGGGGTCCCCCATGCTGGCCTCCCCCGCGGCTGTGGGGTCGGGGTGGACACGCTCCCAGGGAGCTGGGGAAGAGAAAGGGGGTGACCCTGCGGCTCGGGCGGCTCCGGCTGGGGGCGGCACCCGCAGCCCCCCGGCTCTGGGGGGTCAGGGGTCCCGGGGGGGGGGGGGTCCGGGTGCCCCGCTGATGGGGCACCAGGGCCGGTTCCTCGTGCCCCCCGGGCCCTCACCTTCTGGTGCGGCGGGAGGCTGCACCACCGCCGGGGGACGAGGCGGGGCCAGGGCTCCCTCAGCAGCAGCAGCCGCCCCGTGGCCGGGGCCCGGGCCGCTCCGGCTCCAGCTCCGGCCCGGCGGGGGCTGCGCGGCCCCCAGGCTCCTTCCACTCAGGGCGCGGGCCCCCCGGGCCGGGCTCGCTCCCGCCGCGCCGGGCACTCGCCGCGGGGCCGCGCACGGGGCGAGGCGCTGCGCGAACACGCGCCACATGCTGCTGTGAAGCCGGGCCCCGCCAGCGGCTCCGGCAATGACCTCGCTCCCCTCCGGACTGCGGGCGCCCACTGCGCTTTACGGCAGCAGCGGCTGCGACAGTGTCGCGAAGAGCCACAAAGCAGAGAGGGAAGCTAGGGGCGGGGCAGCAGCCGGAGCGAGGGGCTGGTTCCGGGGACAGCGCCCAGGAGAGATAGGGCGAGAGATCTGGGGGTGGACATGGGAGCAAGGTGGGGGAGAAGGGGATCCTCAGGGGTAGGGTGGGGATGGATGGGGGAGCAGGGGACCCTAGGGGTAGGGTGAGGATGGATGGGGGAGCAGGGGAGGTCTGGGGGCAGGATGGGGGAGCAGGGGACCCTAGGGGTAGGGTGGGGATGGATGGGGGAGCAGGGGGACATGGAGACAGGAGGGGAACAGGGGTCCATAGGGGTAGGGTGAGGATGGATGGGAGAGCAGGGGGACATGGGGGCAGGAGGGGAACAGGGATCCATAGGGATAGGGTGGGGATGGATGGGGGAGCAGGGGGACATGGGGGCAGGAGGGGAACAGGGATCCATAGGGATAGGGTGGGGATGGATGGGGGAGCAGGGGGACATGGGGGCAGGAGGGGAACAGGGATCCATAGGGATAGGGTGGGGATGGATGGGGGAGCAGGGGAGGTCTGGGAGCAGGAGGGGAACAGGGGTCCATAGGGATAGGGTGAGGATGGATGGGGGAGCAGGGGAGGTCTGGGGGCAGGAGGGGAACAGGGGTCCCTAGGGGTAGGGTGAGGATGGATGGGGGACCTGGGGACAGGATGGGGGAGCAGGGGTCCCTAGGAGTAGGGTGGGGATGGATGGGGGAGCAGGGGAGGTCCAGGGGTAGGTTGGGGAGTGGATGGGGAACCACTGGGTCTTTGGAACATGGGAGTCTGGGGTTGTATTATAGGGGAGTGGGGGCATTAGGTGCGGATTGGGGGGGTAATTGGATAGAGAGCAGGGGGATAGGGTGCGTGGGATAGGAGAACAAAGGATTGGATGGGGGGATTAGGGGCAGGGAGGAATCACAGGGACTTGGGGGTCTCTAGCCCCACACCCTCTTCTGTGCTGTTAATTCCCATACCTGTTAGAGGCCCTGGTGCCGAGATGGGCACTGGGGAAGTGGAAAGTTAAACACAGGCAGGTAAATACCAAACCCAGATTACGTTCAGTGCATCCTCCTGCAGCTGTCACCCCAGCACCTCGAAGTTGCCGTTGTGCTGTCCGTCGGGGGAATGGAACTCCCTTTATGATGGCACACAGGCAGATGTTGTGATTCTTGTATGAATCGATGAAGGGAAAATGCCACACTGATTTAAACTCATGCGGACCCACAGAATGCCCTAAGTGGGAGGGAGTTACGTGGTACAGAAGCTGGGCCTTGTCATCACCTTCCAAGTGAGGCACGAGGCTGTTCCCCAGCTGGGAAAATAGGCTTTAGAGCACAGCCAAACCTGTATGTCAATTCCGGTTAGGCCCACAGCCGCAGGCCCCTCGACCCCAGAAATAGTGCCAGGTTTGAGACTCCCTTAACATACATCTGTGTCCCAGAATTAATTGAGCTATAGGCCCCAATTTCTGCATCTGAACTCCCAAGATCATACAGAGCATGATTGACTTCAGTGGGGCTCAGACACAGGTTTCAGAATCAGGGTCTTAATTTGTCATGTTCAGGGTGTCTCTTTGCCTCAGTTTCCCCATCAGTAAAATGTTCCAACCCATCAGCTATCCTTAGCAATACTGACATTTCCCCACGAGGATTGAGAGGCTTCATTAACATCTATAAAGTGCTTTGAAACCTTGGTTGGCAGGTATTATATATATGCAAAGTATTCTTGTCCTTATCACTACTGCTTCAGGGTTTTTAAATGATTTAGCAAGAGCTGTTTTCAGCACACAGGACTTGCCTCTACTGTGCCATCACCATCAGCAAACCCAGCCACTGCACCTGAATGCATAAACATGAGAGTCTGTGGCTGCAGTGATATTTGCTCATAAATCTGAGTTAACTGAGCCCAAAAGCTATTGCATTTCATTTTAAATTATATGAGCAGTATGGTCTGGGTCAGGGGTTAGTTGTAGTTTTAAAATATCTCAAAAGCTCACTTGTATTTAAAAATAAATACAAATCTTGCAAGCAATTGACCAGCCCAGAGCTGTTTGCTGTTTAATGTGCATGGATCCAAATCTTCTCTTCAAAGTGAGGTTCAGTCTCTGAGCTTTCCTGGTGTCTTTGAAGATTTTGGAAGCCAAATGGAACAGTCCCTTTACTCAATTCCAGTGCAAGATGGTGTCCTCTGCTGTGTATTCTGTTCCTACTACCTAGCCAGCACACCCATACACATGAGCATTGCATGCCTGTCAACGTATTAGAAGCTTCAGTTCAAAGGAACCTCCCTCCCCACCCAAATGGATTGATCAGACTCCATTTGCAAACTACAGTTTATTGAGATGATTTTTTCTTGGTCCACAAATCCAAAGTACATCCAGTCAGATATATACAGCTCTTAGATGTACAGATAAACCTCACTTCTCACTCTGTTGGAGGACCTGGAGATTGAGAGTAACTGTCCTTTTAAAAAGTGATGAATGCAAACTTTAGAGTTTCTAGGAAAATATAACTTTACATATAGCATGTGTGTTAAATAATCAAGTTACAATTATAAGGAAACCAGAAAGTAGCTTTGAAGAAAGTAGGGCAGAAATAAACATTTATAGAATCAAAAGAAAACATTTAAACCAAGTCCAAGGCCGGATTCTGATCCCATATGCCCTGCTCTAAATCAGGAGTAAATCCATTTAAGCCAATGGTGTTAGACTAGAGTAAAACTGGTATAAGTGAAAGGAGAATCTGGCCCCGTGTGTACCTACTCTTTTCCGGGATTGTCTTGTCCCCCTTTATTTTGTGAATAACTTTCCCTGACCTAACCCATACTCCTTTCTGCTCATTCATACAATGACAGGAAGTCAAGAGAAAACTGCCATGTCATTGCAGGAACAAAGCTGAACCTGAATTGTGCATGTGTTAGAGCCTAGGGGAGCAATCCCAGGAGGAGAACAAGGCATGGCCATGGCCTTCAATTTTAATGTTAGAAGTACTAATAGTTCTGTCCTCAGGCTCTGTCACACAAGTCCCAATGATTTCTGTGGGAGTATCCGAGGGCAGAGTGCTGCCAATACTTTTCAAGGGTTTGAGCTCAGTACAGTAATTATCACAGAGAGAACAAGGTTTCTGTTCTAGTTTGTATGTGGTTTTAGCACTGATGAAGGGTGCTTGGCTGATAGTGCTACAGAATGAAATCTTTGGCTGATAGTGCTACAGAATGAAATCTTTATCCCCAGAATACGCATGGGCAGTGGCAATGCAAGTTTCCTTCTCTGTGCCTCCTCCAAATGTACTTCGCTCCGGCCCTGAAGGGAACACAAGACAGTAAGTGGCTCCAGGGCTGATTCAGTCCTTGGCCCCTCTGCTGAGACTGCCAACAGGCGTTTCAATGGTGACAGTGGTTGTGGGGATGTGGAACCACTAGGAACAGGACAGATTCCCAACTCATTCCACCTAGGCCATCAACCAGCCATTGCTGGGGTGATGACCAGGGTCATTACTGAGTGAGACTGGACTGAAACCTATGACCTACAGGTGAGAAGTTCTATCGCATTAGCAATTACCTCAGCCATTGAGTCACCAAAGACAACTCTTAAACACTGCTCATCTCTTAAAAGCAGAGAGGGATACAGGACGGATACATGGAGGCCTTTGAAAAATTACTGTTTTAATTGTTTCCATAAAACGGATAAGTCCTACCTAAAGCGCACAACTCTGACTGAAATTAAGCAGACTAGTAAAACTTGAATTAAAAGACATTCAAGATAAATTGCAACTGAAATACAACAATGCATTTTAGTATGATAACCCCATGCTGTCTTATAGCAACGCACTAAAACACATGCAACAGAGAAACCAGTGATTTCCAGGGAGGAAGAGAACTTCTGTTTCTTTTCAGGACTGATACTGCTTTTCTCCCATTGAAGAACTTTCCCAAATGCTGATGTTTCGACGGCTGTTTGTGAAGAGAAAGAGTGCGTATAAATCCGCCGATGAAATGGAACTGATCAATACTGGCCTAACAGCCAACACGTGTTCTACCAGTGCAGGAATGGGGCCAGAAAGGTATTTGAGCTCCTCCTGCAACAGAGGGAGTGACAAGACAAACTACACGTAATTCCTGTCTATACAAGAAACAGCTGGCAAAATATAAAAACAGTAGGAAGTAGTTGTACTTTGTAGTAAAATAAAGCTAGTCATGGACCCCACTTTGCATGGTGTTAACAGGAGACTGTATAAAACATATTGACATTCTCTAGAAAATGAGTCAACTACAGCACAGTATTGTGGAAATATACAGAAAGCACTTGCACTGGTATAAAAATATACACCTCAGACAATGATGTAAACTGGTACAAAATAATTCCAAAAAACAGGAACAAGTTTATAAAAGGTCACGTTAATATAAAATAATAAAACCAAGTTCTCCCAGCCTCACCCGCACAACTCAGACAAGCAGGCAGTCCACTGATGGGGCACGTGTACCAAAGATGAACAGACCGAGGCTTGACTCACTGACCTTTTCAGTCAACAGTGCCTGTCTGCTGCAAACTGTGGCCAGCTTTGCAGAAGTCTGGCTGCCTGACAGTAACAGCAGGGCCTGGCACTGCAGTGAGAAAACCTGGGTCCCTAAGTGTATGTCTACACTGCAAGAAAGAAAACCACGGTTGGCTTGTATCAGCTGACTTGAGCTCGGGCTGCAGGGCTATAAAATTGCAGTGTAGACGTTTGGGCTCGGGCTGGTGCCTGGATTCTGGGACCTTCCCGCATTGCAGGGTCCCAAAGCCCCAGCCCAACTTGAACATCTATCCTGCAAATTTATAGCCTCATGAGCTCAAGTCAGCTGACATGGGCCAGCCATGGATGTTTTATTGCAGTGCAGACACACCCTAATGGATCTCATAGCACATGCTCTCCCAACTGACCGTTTTCTACTCCATTAGGTGCCAGAGACGAAAGCATGCTGGGAATTGGGGTACTGCTGCTCACAATATCTATCCTACCAGTTTGGTTATTTGCTTAATGGCCTTGTCAGTCAGTGAACATCAAGTACATGGTGATGCCTGCACAGAGAAAGTTGGAAGAAGGAATACAGATGCACCAATAGAACAGACTCTGTCACTTCATCCCTGAAGAAACATTCCTGCTTGTTTCCTGGGAGAGTAGATTAAGATTTTCTGTTGGCCTTGCTGGATGTATGGAAAGGGCAGGGATGGTAATGGCTGTAGAGAAAGGGCTGGCAAAAGAAGAAGCAAAAGTACCTTATCACCTGCGGGGAAGCTAGGAAGTTTCCTGCTCCCTTCCCCAAAATAAAAATCCATTGGCAGTTAAGTAAGCACCTGGTTACCAAAGAGTTCCAACTTCCCAGGGCAACAGAGCTCAGACCTGATTGCAAGTTGGAGAGCAAACAGCAGAAGCAAGTCTAGGAAATGGAAGCCTGCATTTGGGAAGAAAGACAACGTTGCCAACCTGGTGGTCTTTGCTTTGGTAGTGCTTAGCACAGTCCACAAGCTTCTTTCACTGTCAGGTTCCTGGTGCTCTTGGTATCAAGAGCTTGCAAAGTTCACTGGAGGGAGCTCTGCCTCTTCAGCACAAATTCTCTGGGCGTGGATTTTGGTTGGTCAGATCTTCTGGTAAAAACTAGAATCTAGCAGCATCTTCTGGTCCATGAGGGCAGAACTTATTGTTTCAGGGATCACTGCAGGTTCATATAATACTGAATGTGTCAAATCAGAGTTGAAATGTGCAGTTTACAAACAGCAGCAGGCATTTCACGGGGTGGGGGAACCAGGAGAATGGAGAAACACATCAATAAGGCCTCCAGGGTTTTGTTGACAGGACAAAGCAAGATGATTCTTTCCCACCAACCTGTAATTTCAGTCTCACAACACTGTCTGCATTTGGCCAGGGAAAGTTAAATGCCAGGCATCCTCGCACACAAAAAAGTGTTTTACCCATTGGTTGCAGAGAAGTCCTCTCTTTTGGCAGCTTGAATTGGACATGTCCCAGCTCACACTCTTTTTGGTCATCATCTCTGAGCATTGCAGCGTTACAGGTTCCCACAATAACAAGACCCAAGAGTCTGATTAATTTTCCCCATGATCCTCTTCCACCCAGGCTACGATTTTCCCCTCCCAACCAGGAATGATGTCATCATCATGGAACACCTATAAAAGGGCAGAGAGAGAATCAGGTCACTTCCGGAGGATGGACACCGCTTTGTTACATCTGAGCGGCACGAGAGATGGAGGAATTAAACCAAATAATAAAAATAACTGGCACTTACATAGCACGTTAAGTTCCCAACATGCTTTAAAAACAACAGTATGGCTGCCTATTCCTCCCCCATAGAGAAAAAACAAGGATTATTATCCCCATTTTTCTGACAGACAAAGTGAGATACAGAGAGGGGTCATGATTAGCCCAAGGTCACACAGGGAGGCAGTATCAGAGCCGGATTAAAGCTTGGGAACTCCAGTGCTCAGAATATTAGACCATCTCTGGAGAAACTGGCACTGATGTGTCTTAACAAAAGTTTTTTGGGGGAAGGGCATCATTTAGGGTTACTGTGGGGAGAAGGAAGTGTTTTTTTCTGTGACTGTTTTTTTTCTGTGGGTCAACGGCCCCTGATAGAAAAAAGGTTCCCCACCCCGTTTTAGAGGTATGACTTGGAATCTGCATCTCCCAAATGGTGCTGCCATAGGAAGTGTCCATAGGAGCAGCTGGCACAGTGAAGGAGGGACCCTGCAAATCACCATCCACCACTTGTGCACCTTTGTGATCACACTAAAGTCAGTGCTCTGGGTGGGACTGAAGATGTCCCTTTTTGGCTCCTTACTTGGAGGCTGTCATCCCTTAAACTGTAGCTCTGTAGCAAGTTAGAGATTTTGCTCACATGGAAAGTGAATGTATCAGAAATTTCCAGGCTGTTGCTGGTGCTGAGACACCACACACAAACTTAGATTATGATAGAGCTGCTACTAAAGAGGTCAAAAATACCTCCTCCTTGACTGTGCCAAATTCTGGATCTAGGGCTTTGAAATGGTACCGGTGGGTTCCTTCCCGATCGATAGCTGCCTTGAAGTCCTTCAGAGTCACCTCACCTAACCTGCAAAACAGGAGTTAAGAGCTATCCTCGCTGGCAGATTCTGCCATGGGATTGAGATCAAGTGCTTGGACACAGCTTGTAATAGGGCACACTGAACACTAGCACCAGCATGGATACCATGTGGCACTATGGACAGCAGCACACTGAGGTGAGCCAGAGTGCCTGGAAAATACCTGGTACAACCCAAAGCATCTGATCACAGATAGAATAGTGTCTGTTATTTACTGAAAACAAATCCAAAGCAACTCTTTTATGTTTCTTTTTTGCACTGACTACAATAGCTGCTATTTCAGATGGAGAGTCTTGCACTAAATGGTTTGTGTTGTGCTGGAGTAAGAGTAAATCTGTCTGGCTGCTGCCCACTCATAAAACCAGAGATCAATCTTCTGGGGCTTTAAATAAATAAGCTAATTATATATGTATCAGCTGGGAAATCTGGTCAGGCCTAAAGTGAAAAATACACATGTTGTGGGTCTGCTTTCTTGTCACGACTTCCTCTTTGCAATGAAATACAGTCAAAAGCCGGATTTAAGGGATGGAGAGCATGTTTTGGTGGATAGAAGTACCATGGATTAGATCAGCGCTTTCAGTGAACCAAACTCTATTAGTGTGGCAAAGCCAGGGCTCACCTCTTTGGTATATTGACCATGAAAGGTGTGAGTGAGCGATCAGTGAAGTAGAGCACTTTGGTGCAGGCACTGCTGCTCATAGTGGGTGTGCTGTGAGAATGAGGCAATTCTGCAAAGAGAGAAACACAAAGTACTGTCACTGCAGCCAAGGGAGAGCACAGTTTTCTTTCCCACCCTGTTCCCCTAGAGGCATTCTCAGCATCATTTCAGCACAGGGGTAGAGACCCAGAGATGGGAAAGACCTATTAGATGATGAAGTCCATCCCCCCACAAGGGCAGGATCTTGCCCTCTTACAGGACGACAATGCACTGCAAGGTGAGTATTACAATGTTAGCCTGAAGGGCCACCCTACTGCCACCCTAGGGGATGATGAGACACAGCCCAATGCACACAGTGCATACAGCACACCACCTGCACTACAGATATTTTGCCTGCTGTCTTTGTAGTGACTGGAGAATTCCAGCCCATTCTAGGAGAATCATCCCATGAGTGACACCCCTTCTAGCAGCTCAGTATAAGTGATTATCATTCTGCTTGTCTTCACTGACAGAAAAGGGGGATCAATAATTGACTGACACCTACAGGACAAGAGGTCATGTCGGCTCAGCCCTATTAACTCAGAAAGGCGCAACAGACCCAGTCACCTGCCCTTCTGCCCATATTACATAGACTAGGGAGGTGTCTGTGCGCGTGGTGGGTTTCTCTTTGTTAATACGTGCATCTCTCTTTCTGACTGCACCATTACCCTCCCCATTCCTGCAATACAGGTGTGTCTATGCCAAAGGCCTAGGCAGGGGAAGGTTTACACAGTGAGACCCTCTCAATCATAAGGGCTTTCTGGCTTAACGAATCTACAGCCATCACTTTGAGCTCTTTACACCCAAGCAGATCTCTGGTCCGCTAGAGCCTGAATAAATTGACTGCTGCAGTGGAGGGGAAGGTGCCTATAGGGGCTTTGGGAGGTGGCGGGTGAGGCATGTTTTGCATGCATTAGGCTGGTGACATGGAGGCTGCCGCACGAATTGCAGCTTTAGAGAAAAGAGAAAAGGCAACCCAGGTGACTTCTCAGCAGAACCCACGTCAGGCTCTTCCTCCAGATACTAAGTGTCCTTAATTCCTTTGCTAACATCTCCCTAAAATCCTGGTGCTGAGCACTGCAATGTAGTTAAAAAATGGGGCTCTCTATTTGTCCCCAACACCAACGGGCCGACTCCTCACTGCCACTTTGAGAATTCAGTCTATGCAAACTAATGGATTTCTCAGGTTATATTTACAACTGACCCCAGAAAAGCAGTTCCCATGATGGAGAGGAAACTATCGCTGCTCTCAAGTCAGGCAAATGCAGTGAGGGAAAATCCTGCGCTACGGTGTACACATTAAACCCCGGCCTAAGGGATGGTACTCATGGCCACTAGGTGGTGCAAGCACCCAATGCAGCCAACAATAATCCTTAAGGGGTCTGAGAGAACATGGCATTTCCCCCTGAATCCAAGGAGTAATTACTATTATTTATATTGTGGTAGTGCCCAGGGATTCCAGTCAGGATCAAGCTCCTATTCTGCCTACCCACAGCCCCTTGCACTGAAGCTTAGTCTATGAAGCAAATGGCCCAGGAGAAATGCTACAGCAATGAGCAATGGAGTGAGAGGCCAGCCTGTTCTGCTTCCCAAGAGGGACACTGTGCAGTGGATTCTGTCCAGGAAACCTCTGAGCCATGAAGCCAGTTTTTGGAGCGATAGAGCTGAAATGCACTCACTGGAGTTGGGAGGCCAGGAGTCTCGATACTCGTTCGCTGCTCGGCTTGCGGGCGACTTCCCTTGAACCTATGGGGAAAGCCAAGAGAGCGAGGACAAAGGGTCAGTTCCCAGGGCCTCCAGTGGTGCAAGCAAACTGACCAGTGAAGGAAAATGTCATGAAACAGTTTAAGAGGATCTTCTTCTTCCACACACACATCCACACACACACACCTAGCAACCAGATCTACCCAGACACACACAACCAGATCTACACCCAAGACCCCCCCAACATGGACACACAGAGACCCCCAGTACATACAGATTTTCACCCAGACCCCTGCTGTAGGATATGGCATTTAAATGTAACCAACGTGAATGACTATTTTCTCCCAAGATACTAGGAGCTCAGATTTCCCACAGCCCAGAGATGCAAAGTGCTACCATCTACAACCCGTACTGAGGGTCAGCATGGCCTGTAGGGGTGGACAGCCCTTAGAGAACAACAGTCAGAGCATAGACTCTGGAGTCAGGTTCACCTGGACTTTGAATGTCATTGTTAACTTTTTCACTCTGCCACACATTTTGCAGACATGAAATAGACCCCCACGAAGAAACAACAGAGGGGTTGGACTGATTAAAACCGGTAACACGGCCCTGCTTCCAGACAGAGACAAACTAACCCTGTGTAGTTATAAGGTCAGCAAGTGTCTGCTTCCAAATACCACCGTCAGGTCTAATGGGCAGCACAACAGAGCCCAGGCAGCAGCAATGACAGCCCGTGGTGGCTTAGTAACAGCTCTTTGTCCACTCTGCAAATGTTAACCAATTAATCCTCACGGCCCCCAGTGGGAGGGAAGAGGTGAAGTGACTTACCTAAGGTCACACAGCAAGTCAGTGACAGAACCTGGAACAGAACCCAAGAGTCCTGACTTACAGGCCCCTGTTCCAACTACTTGAGTAGATCAGTGGCTCTCAACCTTTCCTGACTACTGTACCCCTTTGAGGAGTCTGATTTGTCTTGTGTCCCCCCAAGTTTCACCTCACTTAAAAACTACTTGCCTACAAAATCAGATATAAAAACAACAAAGTGTCACAGCACACTAGTACTGAAAAATTGTGTATGTTCTCATGTGTAGTATACAATTAAAACATAAATCAATTGGAATATAAATATTGTACTTACATTTCAGTGTATAGTACACAGGGCAGTATAAACAAGTCGTTCTCTATATGAAATTTTAGTTTGTACTGACTCTTCTAGATTTTTTTCTGTAGCCTGTTGTAAAACTAGGCAAATATCTAGATGAGTTGATGCACCCCCTGGAAGACCTCTAAGTACCCCCGGGGGTACGCGTACCCCTGGTTGAGAACCACTGGACTAGATGACTGCTTCTCAGTAATATAAGAGGCACATCTTAGCATTAGGCCTCCAGTGAGAGCAGAGAGGTGAGGTACAGTAATGAAGCATCATTTGCTACACCCCATAGGTTCCCCCGGGGCTGGCTGGGATCCTTAGGGACCCTCCATCTGCCACAATCTAGGCTTCTTTAGGATACAGTGAGCAGAGTGACCACATGATCAGCACACTGCAGGGAGAGATGTGAGGGGATGGAGCGCTGCACTCCCTGGTACTAGCTCTGGTCAGTAAGAGGAGGTGGAGGTATGAAGCCAAGCCCAGTGGGGAATGTTTACCCTTCTCTCTTGCCTCTTCTGCGTCTCCATGCGGTGCAATCTCTCCATCAGGCTGGAGATGCCTTGTTCCAGGCTGTCGATGGTGTGGTGCTGCGGGTCGTGGCCGCTGAAACTGTTCCGCAAGCTGCGGAGGGCATCACGCACCAACTGCAGGTCATTCGTCTGCCCAAGAGACCAGGAGAAGTCAGCCAATGCAGGGATTCAGAGCCTCACTGTAACCTCCCTCCCTCCGGGCGCTGCACTTCTCCCAGGCCCAAGGGACCCTCAGGGGCCTGCACTTTCCCTTACAGGCTGGCAGCTGCAGAGGGAAGGATCATAGGGTTTGAAGGGACCTCAGGAGGTCATCTAATCCAACCCCCTGCTCAAAGCAGGACCAATCCCCAACTAAATCATCCCAGCCAGGGCCTTGTCAAGCCTGACCTTAAAAACCGCTAAGGAAGGAGACTCCACCACCTCCCTAGGGAACCCATTCCCGATGCTGACTGGAGTCCTGAGCTGGCACTGGCTAAGCAGCAGGGTACCTACCACTCTGTGGGCTGTGGGAGCAGCTCCTTTTCCTGCTGTCTGGAGGAAGCCGTTGCTCTGAGTGCTGTGATTGCTGTAGCTCATCACCTGTTGCAAGGAGAAGACACTTTAACAGAGGGTACAGCAAGTTTCTGAACTTCCCGGAAGAAGATTCCAAGGTGCCAACTTCAGATTTGTGAGAGGGCAGGGAAAGCAACTGCACCAACAATACAGCCCCATTGCCACCAGCATTCTGCAAGGTACATAAATTCACTACAGAACGCACACACCCCTGGAACCTAGGCAAGTGTAAGGATTCTCATTTTGCAGGTGGGGAAACTGAGGCAGAGATGGGCAGTGACTTGCCACGTCACGGAGGGAGTCAGGGTCAGGGCTGGAATTAGAACCCAGGAATTCCTGTTTCCCCATCCTGTGCTCAGACCACTGGACTTCACCCCTTGTCAGGTTCATGGGGGAAGTTGAATAGATCTGAACTTTCCCAGAAGACCTGCAGCAGAGAGCAGCCCCTCCCAGAAGCTCCAGCTGTGATGTTCCATGGAGCCTGGCCTCTCTGGGATAGAGGGGGCGCCCAGGGGAGCTTGACACTGGACTCTAGCTGCACATTACATAATGTCAGGCAAAGAACTGCATTCCAAGAGCCTGATGTCTTCCAATGCCCCACTCACCTCTTCTGTCTCTCTCTTCATGCACTGAGCCAGCAGGGCCTCCTTGTGCTCCAGCTCCCGCTCCAAATCTGCCTGCAAAGGGAACAGACAAGTCAGTATGAACTGAGCTGACCAGGCTGGCACCAGCTTCTCAAGAGCAGGGCATGTTGGCGGGCTCTGTACCTGCTGGTAGCTGGCCTCGGAGAGCTGACGGAGCATTTCGTCTAGCTTGGCCTGGTGCTGCTGTAAGTGCCGATCCTTCTGGCCCAGCTCCTTCTGCAACCCAGAGGGATTGGGGGCATCAGTGTATGAGCAGGTGATGAAGGCTCATCTTCACCTTCCTCAGGAGCAGGGAAGGGTTAAAGCTGGCACAGCCTATCTGCCTTAAACCCCATGTTCTAACTGTACTTTAAGGCCTTGTTTGAAAGGGTCAGTCAGGCCCCCACCGCCCTGGGCTTCAGACACGCCACAGGCTCAGCACTGAGGCCAGCAGCACAGCTGACCTATAGGCCCAGGATTCGTGTAAGGCCCTGAGGATAATTTAATGACACAGATGCGATGGTTTGTGGGTGAGCATGGTGCACTCAAGTGCACACCGCTGATGCCAAAGTAACCCGATGACCACTGTGAAAAACACTCTGGGCTATGGCACAGTCCTTCTTAACCTGAGCAGCCATATTCCAAAGGACGTCACAGAGATCTCTTGTTATTGCTATTTATTCACAGTGACAATCCACGGGGGTGACAGAGCACGAAGCACAGAGAGGGCAAGAGCCCTACAGGAAGAATGTTTCCAGGGCTCTCCCAATCTCCACGTGGCTGGGCTGGGAGAGTCTCTTACTTTGTATTCTCCCAGGAGTCTGTTTCTCTCTTCAACCTTCCTCTGCAGATCAACCTGCAGAAACAAAAGGGAGGTTTGTATCTCAGGAGATCCAGTGCATCCATCGACACAGTCCTCTCTTCAACCTCGTGTGATAAAGGCTGCTGTGGGGCGTATGTGCACAGAGTAACACAGCCTGAGGTTAGCAGCAATGAAGTTACATGCACAGATTCGGGGCAGTAAGCTGTTCCCCTGGATATGACAAATTGCGCTGGCCCCTCCTTCACCGCTGCTGCCTCCTCAATGCTGATTCTACACACACATGCTCTGTCTGCCAAACGTCACTTGCCTTTAACACGTGGAACAGAGATGAAGGGAACACTGCAGTTTTAGCCCAGTTATAATGAAAATATAATGCAAAGCTTTTCCTCCGTTTCAACCAATGAGGAGGGCCTTTGGAGGATGGGGGAGAAGAAGAGGAACCCCCATAAGCGGAGGGAGGAGCAGGAGATTCCAGTGAGTCTGACTATAGGCCACTGGGCTTCCACTGCACTGTTTCCTCTGCATAGCCCAGTGATCACTGCTCCATCTATCCCATGGCTCATGGATCTACACAATGCCGACCAGCATTGTGTAGATGGTCCCAGGGGGAGGGATAGCTCAGTGGTTTGAGCATTGGCCTGCTAAACCCAGGGTTGTGAGTTCAATCCTTGAGGGGGCCACTTAGGGATCTAGGGCAAAATCAGTACTTGGTCCTGCTAGTCAAGGCAGGGGGCTGGACTTGATGACCTTTCAAGGTCCCTTCCAGTTCTAGGAGATAGGATAGGATAGCCCCACACTGTGACTGCTGGGCTCTCTGCCCTGTAGTCTCAGACCCTGCAATCCCCAGCCACCCTCCCCAATACCAGCGACACTGTCTGAGTTAGCAGCACGAATGACTCACATTCTGGTTGTGCAATTCCTCCTTGTCCATATTTGCTCTCAGCAGCTCCTGCTTTAGCTGAAGAACTGAAGCGTCCTGCTGAGCCAACCTCTGCTGCAATGCATCCTGGGAAAATACACGTATTACCGTTAACACAGTGCCACTGGTGTGCATGGAGTAGGCAGGTGCCCTGCCATGAGGAGCTGATGGTCTAAATTTGATAGATAACACAGTGAAAATGACAACAATCCCAGGGGAAAGAGAGGGACATGCAGAGTGCCAGACTGTGGCCCATGGACAAGGGTAAGCCCCGGCACCCATAGCACGAGATGTGAAGGCATCTGCCTGAACCAGCTCTCAGGTCTTACACTGTGATGCTGCCTGCTGCTGAATTCTCTGCCTTTAGCTAGCTGTCAAAATCACTGAGGAATTTCTGTGCTTCTGTTTGAACTTCCTGCTCAGGCATAGGGTGGCCAACCTTCCCCAAGGGGGAGAAGCAGCTGTGTGTTTGGAGGCGCTTTTGGTGGCACAGAGCCAGTGACCCCCATCTATTGCCTGCACCACCCACGGGGGAGAAACAGGCAAACATCAGTCAAGGGAGCAAGGCCTCAGATGTGAAAAATTCAAGCTTTCCAGTGAGGCATAGCAGTGTGGAGCAACTCCTCTCTGAATGTGTCTCTGGGGAGCCAGGATCCATGCCCGAATCAGGGCTCACCCTTGCACTTTTCCATTCATATTACTGTGAAGCAAACAGCTCCACCTTGGACAGCAGTGTGCTTCCTCCACAACCCAGGGTGACAGACAGCTCTAAAAATATCTCGAGCTCAGGAGCAGATTGTTAAACGCCCGTACTCCAGAGGGACGTGCTGGGCAAACAGGAACACAAACAGCCAAACAACTGCCCGAGCTAAGGAGGGCATCTGCACATGCCATGATTCCCTCTCTGCTGCTAGGAATAAACCAACCCACCACACTAAAGTGTTTATTCCCAGGATAACAGTGCTAACAGGCCATGAGAACCACCATACACATACCCTGTTCCACCCATCCCCCTTTGGGAAACTCAGGCCCAAAGAAGCAATGTGATTTGGCTAAGGTCACAAAGACAGTGAAAGAGTCAGGAATAGAACCCAGCTGTCCAAACTCCCAATTCCCAGCTCTGACCATATTCACTTCCGAGTGCCAGGAACAGAACCAAGGAGAAGAGCCACAAAAATGATTAAGGATTAGAAAACGTACCTTATAGTGATAGACTGAAGGAGCTCAATCTATTTAGCTTAACAAAGAGAAGGTTAAGGGGTGATCTGATTACAGTCTATAAATATCTACATGGGGAACAGATATTTAATAATGTGATCTTTAATCTAGCAGAGAAAGGTATAACACAATCCAACGGATGGAAGCTGAAGTTAGACAAATTTAGAGCTTGTCTCCACTTACCGGTGTTCCCTTCTGGCCTTGGAATCTATAAAGCTGTGAGCCCTGACTGCCACTTCCCTACTCTAACAGGCCCTACTCCATTCCTTGGGGTAAACTGAGAGGTATCATGTTGCCCCTGACCCCTCTGATAGGCTCCCAAGGGTTACTGTTAACTAGTTCATTAATTCTCTCTCTTCTCACCTTTATTCCTTGTAGGTTTCGCGCTTCTTGTTTGTATTTCAGTAGCTCCTTCTGTAAATCCAACACAATTTGTTTAAATGGTTGTTTCAGGTCATCCCAGAAATATCTCCATCCCTCCCAACACCTGGTCTCAGGAGACCCTCTGAAATAAAACAAACCCCACCTCCTCCCACAGACCAAAAAACATGTCAGACCAGGACCCGTTTTAAAGAGTTTACAAACCCAGCGATAGAAATCACTCTTTCTCCATGAAACACCTTCTGAGCAGCTGTAGCTCTCCTAAACGCTTTATATTAAATTGCAGAGCTAAAGCTTGCGAATCCACCAAATCTACCCTTTGGAGCAATGCAGAGCACTTTACTTCCAGCGTTATTGCTGGGCCACTGCCAACTTCCGCGCAGAGCACAAGACAGGCTTGACAGGAGGGTTTTTCTCAGCTGCTTTTATCTTCCACATGAAAGCTTGTTTACACCCAGACATGGCTAGAAATGTAACAATTGTCCTGGATAAAGGTTTCTAAATGCAGCACGATATGCATCTCTCGAGAAAGGCTCCGGCTTCAAGAATGGGCAGAGAAGTCTATTCAGGGCTGGACTTAATTCAAATAATTGTTTGGTGTTTTGTTTTAAAGGAGAGCAGCATTGACAGCATTATTTAGAGGCGAACTGGATGAAAAGGGGGCATTTCCCCAGATTCTACCCTACGCTAGCTTAGAACACAGATGATCGTGAAACTACTCATGCATGAGTAATAATAATACTCATAAAGCACCTCCCATGTGAGACTCTCAAAGCACTTTCCAAATTCAGTTCACTCATTCTCACGGCCCATTTGGGAGGCAATTATTAATCCATTTTAAAAATTGAGACATAGAGAAGTGCGGTGACTTAATCAAGTTCACATCGCATGACAGCAGCAGAGCTGCTGACTCCCAGTCATCCATGTGCAAGTACATTTCCTCCCTCTGCTTAAATTAGAGAGCTACATAGTGCACATAGAGAAGGAGCCCCCAAGATCCCAATCCCAATAACCATTCTGTCTCTATCTGTCCTCTTCTAACCTTTAGGTCCTGATTTTCGTCCATGCTCTGGTCCAGACGACTTCGGATTATGACCTGAATGCAAATGCACTGCAGTTATTACCCATCCTCTGTCTGAACAGTGCACAAAATTGACTGAAACTAGATTTTAAGGGAAAAGAACGTGCTCACCAGCTGCTCTTCTGGACAAGCTCCATGTTCACAAAGGACAAATGATCCCTCCTGCTCGTCCTCAGGTAATGACCCATTGAGCAGCAATGCCTGGGCAACAGCAAAGGCAAAAAGAATCCGCACTCAGATGATTTCTTGGAAAGCCACAGGAGAAACTCAATCCCATCTCCACAGCTTTAGCCAGCAGCATTTCACAGCAATCTAGACCCAAACAGCCTCTAAACAATTTTCTCTATCATTTCGGCTGACATCTTACTGCACAGAAAAGGGGGCTTGTTTTGAAACAAGCATAAGACATCAGAATGTCCCCAAGAAAGGATCCTCAGCAGAGAAGTCTGTTGGTGACAGGCATACGCAACTCCCATCAAGGTGAAGGGGAATTCTGTATCAACTCAGCCCTTTTTATGAGCAATGTTTGCACTGGGTTTTAATATGAACTGCATAAAATCACCCTTTACGGACAGACAGCATATACAAAAACTGAAGGAAAGAAGCTGAAAGTTAGGCAGAGATTTGCAGCAAGAGGGTTTTTTTCAGACTAGTTTGGAACATGTCCAAGGCATAAATAAAAATTTAATTTAAAAAACAAACTAGTCTCTCAGTCAATGGACATTCTAATTTCAAAGATATTGGAAGGAGGGGACGTCTGGACTGAACAAGTACAGCAATGCCTGGGTGTGTTTTTTAGGAACATTTCCCACTCTTAAGACCTGCTAAGTAGTCTCTGTTCACACTGGAACCATGGCTGACAATGCATTCAGCAGCAGATCCCCCTTGAGCTGGTACTGAAAGCACATTAAATGTGAGGGTAACTGGGACAACCTCTGTTTTCAATACCCTTTCAGAAAGCACTACAGAGACTTGAGGGACCACTGCCAGCAACAGGTCACTGTCCTCGTGTAGACTGACCTGGGCCACACGTTTACTGCTAGGACTCAGAAGCAGGATATTTCAAGAGCCAATTAGTTTATGCTGGAGAGTAGCATAGAGGTAGATAGGCCACCAATACAAGGCAGAACTGGGAGGCTGATGAGAGTTAGCACAGAGGATGCTAGGACAGTGGCATCCCTTCCTTTCAGATAGTTTTCTATTTGAGTTCTACCCCAATCTCATTGCTGCCAATTAAAAATCTCATTTGCAGGGATGTTCCATCTTGGACCGAGAAATGCCAAGCTGAAGGGTCGAGTCCGATTTTCTCACCGGAGAGATGCAAACCTTGCTGAATGCCAAACAGACAGCCATTTGTATTCATTTAATGCAAATCTTCCTGGGGAAACACTTCTCTGAGTGCAGTCCCAAAGTTTGCCCAGCAGGACATCTAGGCAGGAGTCACACAGGAACACCGAAAGCTGCACAGGGTCTCAGAATTTCAAACAAACCCTTGTGATCCAGAGGCTTTTAAATATTGGGCAAGAAGGGAAAATCAATGAATCAAATCCAATTTCTTGGACAGCTGTGTCAGCTGCCTCCTCCTGCTTCTGAGGAGTGAGGGGGGCAACATGCCAGCTGCTTTCCCTTGCTCCCGAGGTGTGTTGGGGGGGCAATGCCAGTCTCCCCAGTGCTGCCTTCCTCTGCTCCCAGAGGGTGCATTATGCAAGCGGATTGTACCAACCATCTATTTTCTTTTGGAATCTTTTGTGTCCCTTGCCCATTGTCAGCTGGGAGCACGCCTGTGTGCTGCTCACACAATGCGGGCTTTGTTTACTTGTACATAAATATTTACAATTCAAAATAAGTGCGGTTCCCAGCACAAACAGAAAGGGGTATTCCTGGGAGAGTTCAGGGTCTTTGCCATATGGAGCAGGGAGTCTGCTCACTGAGCAGAGTCACACAAAGGCACAGAGGCAAGGGTCATTTGGTCAGGGAAGGACTAGAGCAGGGCAGCTAGAACAAAGTCCGATAGAGAAAATTGATTCAAATGATCATTAGGGAAAGTGCCAAATTTTACAGCCCAACCAGTCTTACTAAAAGGAGACAGATCTGCTTCTTTATCTCTCTTGATCAGTTCTATGAATCTCTACTGATTTTCCTGCATTCCTTGTCTCTTTGCATTACTTCCAATCACAAATCACACAAAGCCTGTTTTATTCGCCTTGGCTGCTAACAAAAACCATGGGCTGCCAAGCGTCTTGGCAAGGAATGGGAGTCCCAGCACATGGGAAAAAGCTGTTGCATCTTGCTACTTTGGGCGGTAACATACATGTTTTTCCTGGTGACAGCACATTCAAGTGTTACCATGTAATCAGGGTATAGGGCACCCACCTAATGAATCCAATAAAATACTGGACTGTAACCAAAAGACATTGACAGGAGAGATGATCATTTACTAAACCCAGACTTTTCAGCGCCCGCTGAAGGAGATCCCTTTCTGGGTGCTCACAACGTGCCCTCTGCGCTTTCCCAGTCTGTCCCAGTCACCATTACTGTAACCAATGATGGCACTCACTAGACTTAAGTCTCTTCATTACTATATGCACAGTCAGCCCCTCTAAGGGCATGCACTGGAAATGAATAAAACCTGCATCCTTGCACCAGCATCACACACACTTCCATGCACTGCCTCAGCCTCTTCCACCCTCACACCAGCCTCTCGTCACATCTTCCCCACAGAAGAGACAGCCTGGGAAACCAGGTAAAAATTATGCTTTTTAAGAGTCTAGAATTAAAAGAAAATTGTCCAAACTGATTGACACTATCTAAAAATATCTCTCTGAACTACGTCTGGGAGCTTGGAAAGGCCATTCTTTGCTTCCTATCACCTTATTCAAAAGCCCTGCAAAGAGGGAAAGATGGACAGCAACAAAGCACAAACCAGTGAAGATTAAGAGAAAGAAAACCCACACTAGTGCTGGGGCAGGAAGTGCGAGGGGTGCAAGAGCAAAGCATGATTAGCATCAGGCTTAAGGAGCCATATCTTAAACTGCTGTGATGAGTCCTTTCTGTTGTCTATCAAGGTACTTCCCTATCCCCATCAGCATAATATCCTTACAACACCCCTTGAGGTAGGGAAGGATTATTATACAACCGATGAGCACATTGAAGGATTAAGTGATTTGCCCAAGATCATCCAAGGAGTCTGTGGCAGAGCCTGGAACTGAACCCAGATTTCCTGAGTCCCAGGCTACAGGAGTAGTCTCTCTCTCAGCTAGAGCTCAATGGGAAACAAGAGTATGATGGGAAGATAAGAGAAATGCTGGCTGAAAGGCAAAGCGAATACCTGCAGGCCTGAAATCATCTTCTTTGCTTCCTCCATTTCCTTTTCTAAATGGTCTTGTTGTTCCAGCAGCTGCTCCTCCCAGGAGGTCTCTAGGTATGTCCCAGGGCTTCCGGCCTGCCACTCTGGGAGAAATGGAGAGTCTGTCTCTTCTGCAAGAGGAAAAAGCTATATGAAATACAGCTGAACAACAACAGAGGAGTTCTGAAAAGCGAGGCACAGCATACAGAGGTCTCCAGCTCTCTGCACTTGATTCTCAGTGGCAGGAACTGGAATCTCTTCCAGCTGATGTCAAGGTAACAGCTAGGTGAAGCATCTTCCCCCAACTTGGGGATTTATGCCTCATTCACCCTGCAAAAGAAACATTACCTTCCCTGTGTGTGCATGACCTGAATCCTTCATCTTCATTAGCACTGATGTACAAGGTCTCCTGGTGTTAGAGAGTCCTAGGCAAGTTGAAGAGGAGGATGCAGTGTGAGGGTGTTTATATCTCCCTGTTGGAGCTGAAGGAAAGGATGAAGGGGAGTGGGAAGGGGGGATCTCTCAGTGTTGCAGGAGGCACCCCCTCCCTGGCTACTCCAATAAGCACTAATAGACGGATCTAAAACCCACTAAAGTCAAAGCAAAGACCACACTGACTTTAACAAACTTTAGATCAGGCCCTAAACACCTGTGATCAAGATTTTCCATTGTTTCGGTATTTCTTGCTATTAAGATACTCCGCGACTGGTTGCTAAGCCATGGGTGAAAACCCTGGAGGGCAAAGCCGGAATGCTTGAAGCCCTGCCAGGTTTTGCTCCACATACTGAAGCATTATAGGTGCTGGCAGGGAGAGCGTGCCACTTTTAACTGAATGAATGTCTCGCTCCAGTTGCTGTGCTTGGGGAGCGAAATGCACATTCACTATGAGCCTCTGTGTCCCATTCCTGAATAAGCCAAGGTTTTCCAGGCAGAACCCGGTTTACCAATTTATTCAAGGCCTGGTTCTGTCAAACTCACTCATGCTGGATAGTAATTTACTCCACGAATTTAATGGGGCTACTTGGGGAGCCAGTTCCTGTTCAGCAAAAGGTTGGCACAATTGGGTCCATAGTAATTTGCTGTGTGAGACCTTATCCAACAGAGACATTTGTAATGAGTCAGTTCATTATTCCTGCCTGATCTATCTACTCATACCTTTCATTGCTGTGGTACGTAGGCACTAGTCTCCTGCTACATGTCCGCAAAAATATCTGAGCAGGAATTAAAGCAAATTTCAGAAAGCTCTTAGCCCCTGTTTTACAGATTAATAAACCTTGGGAATCAAAGCCTGATCCCAAAATGCCTGTCCTTGCTTTTCTGACTTTTTGCATTTATATTCGGTATCATCACTGCTGCTCATCATTGGCCTTGATTTTAAATCAAGAGATCACTGGGATCTTTTTTAAAGAGAAGAACATAAAAATATTTTATAAACTCTGCAACCTTTTGTAATCCCCATAAGACAAGATGGTCTGTGCTGGCTAATGCCACAGCTCTGGATGCTGCAGGGATTTAGACATTGTACCCAAGGTGTGATGCTAAACTTGGGGATAAACATCCTAGTGGGGCACATCATTGCAGAGTTGTGACTGATCATTGCAGGCAGCTACTACAGTCTCTAGCCAAGTGACAAAGATATTCCACTGTGCAAAATGTGGATGGGCATGCTGATGTTGAAAACACCAGTGAAACGTTACAGCCTACCAAATATTTCAACCTCACAAATATTTTACAATCAAATATTGTAGACTAAAGAGTAGTAAACAGGGGGCTTTATTGGCTGGGGTGACAAAGCATTTCATTAGAGAGACTCCCTGTGATTCAGGCTGGGGATGGAAGCTGATCTATAAGCACTGTTTCTACACTACGTTCATGAGAGGAAAATGATGTCAGAAACTTCATCAAAAACCTTTCCTTTGCACTCTGTGGATTGTTAATAGATTTAAAACAGAAACTAACCCAGCAGCAGGACATTTTGGCTAATTCTTTTTGCTCACTTGAAATGAAACAAAAATCAGGTTTATCGCTGGGAGGGGTGGAGGGAGTCATGGTAAAAAGTCAATGGTGTGTCAGTAAAACCAGGCAATAAGTGTACAACACTCCCCAGCCTTGCGAAGTGCCACTGCAAGTTAGTCAGGTGATTTTGTGCCGCTGTAGCATAAATCCAGAACCCCATTACACAGACTCAGCTCCAGCCTCCAAGTTCAAACAGACTCAATCTTTCTGTGGGATTGGACTTTTCTTCACAACATCTTGAAGTAAGGACAAAGCAACCACCATATACTGTAACTAATAAATGACACTGAACTCCATCCGTTCTCTAAGGCTTTTAATTTTTGAAGCATGCTAGTGAGTCTCCTGGACTTTGCCAAACAGTGGCACAACCTTAGCACTACTAAACAGTGAGCTTGGGGATTTAATTTTATATGAACTGATGTATCAGCTCACAACATTCTACACTCATACGGTCTCTGGGAATCCATCCAGCAAGTCCCTGCCATAGCTCTCACGTGGGAAGTCCTGGAAGTGGGAAAGATGAAATGCATCATCTGTGCTCTACCTGTTTTGGTTTCTGTTTCTTCAGCTCGGATGATCACAAAGTCTGCCTTCTCCTCCGACTGGGTTGCAATGGACTCGCTCTTTGTGCTGTGTATGGGACTGGGTGATGTGAGACTGCAGAGGAGAAGAGGAGATACAATTATTTCCAGTGTGAGCTGCAAACATAGCAGGGGGAAAAGAGCAGCTTCATCTCTGTCTAAAATAAAAAGCTAATATGCAAGAAGTCTGGTTACACTGAGCGCTGCCCACATGCCAATGAATTCATTAGCAGGCCAGACAGTGCCTGTAACTTTTCAGGCCAGTAGCTGACTGAAGTGCTGCAGCAGTAATTAGTCTTTTCATTTTTCCTGTAGCTTAAGAAGATGTAAATAGGAGAGGCAACCACTGCAGGATTAACACAGATCCCAAAGTCAGGGAGCTAATTCTAGACTATCCTTCAGACTGCAGTTCTGCTTACAACATAATGTAATGCAAGGCTTAGCCTACAGTTGCAAACTGCTACCAAAAGTCATTCACAGTATCCCAGCTCTCTTGATTTCTCACCTGTATTTAAAGGGACAATTACAGTATGGGGAACCAACCTAAAATTCCCATGCTAAGGAGCCCTCGGGAACACAAAGACACCAACACATGATCTAGCTTTAAATGAGAAAGCTTCTTGAAAGCAGCCACATATTTCTACAACAATCTCAGCTGGTTGTGAGGTCCAGACTCTCAAGCTCTTTCAGACGTTCTTCCCATATCCATCACCGGGACAACAGCAAAGGCATCCAAAGCTCAGTGATCCATTTAATGTGCCCCCAAAGTCTCCAGGAACTAATCCTTGCAAGAGCAAGGAGGAGTTAATGTTTCATTCTCCTCAAGACAGACACAAAAGCCAGAGAGAATAAAAAGAAAACATGGTGAAAGTAACAGAATAGATTTAGAGAAATAAAATGCACTTCTATAGCTTGCCTTCCCAATCTTCCCAGCACTTCTGATATAGGTTCCCCAGCTCAGGAACAAACACATCTCTCTAATAAAATCAGAGAATTTTAGAAATTAGAGAGGAAATGACCTGTTAGCGGCTCCCATATAGTCCACTCCCAGGAGCCACCCCCAAGAGACTGTTCCTAGTCTATTTTCCAGGCCTTTGACTAATCTAGTTTTAAATGATTCAACTAAGTCAGCTTCCACTGCAGTAAAAGAACAAATGAGTGTGAGTCACTAAGTGAAGAGAGAGTAACCATTTTGGACTAGATACAGAAAGCAGCAGGAGTATTCGCTCAGACCCTGTTGCTCATACAGTGTATGTCTACCCTGGAAAGACACACCCTCAGCACACAGTCTCAGGTATAGCCACACTGCAATAAAAGACCTGCAGCTGGCCCAAGTCAGCTGACTCAAGCTAGTGGAATTTGGGCTGCATGGCTATAAAACTGCAGTTTATACATTCGGGCTCGGGCTGGAGCCCAGGCTCTGGACCCTCCCACTCCTGGGTTCCCAGAGCCGGGGTTCCAGCCCAAGCCCCAATAGCTACACTGTAATTTTATAGCTTGGCAGCCCAAGCCCTGTGAACCCGAGTCAGCTGACTTGGGCCAGCCATGGCTCTGTGCCACGGGTCTTCTATCACAGTGAAGCTGTACCCTCAGAGCCCAGGTTAATTGACTCAGGCTCACGGGGTTCAGGCTGCAGGGCTAAAAATTGCAGTGTAGACATTCCCACTCCGGCTGTAGCTTGGGCTCCAAGACCCTGCCCCCTCACCAGTTTCAGAGCCCAGGCTCCAGTGCTATTTTTAGCCCCACACCCTGAGCCATGCAAGCCCAAATCAATTGACCTAGGCTCTGAGACTAGGCACTGCAGGTTTTTCTTTGCAGTGTAGACATACCCACAGTGTGCAGATTTGCTAAAGATTGTTGGATGTGCCCAAAGCTTTACCTTAAAGAAAGCGAATCCCAATGCAGCGTTCCCTAACAGATGATGTTTAAAACTGAAATCATTGCCCAGGGGCCCAGGAATGTGATGTTTGTGTTCTGAGGAGATAATCGATTATTAAAGGCCCGGCTTGACAAAGCCCTGGCTGGGATGATTTAGTTGGGAATCGGTCCTGCTTTGAGCAGGGGGTTGGACTAGATGACCTCTTGAGGTCCCTTCCAATCCTGATATTCTATGATTCTAAATGATCAAACTTTAAATCAGCATAGATACACAGAAAGTCACAGAGACAGACTGACTGACCTAACACGCCCAGGAATATTGCATGGGATTTGCCGTCCTTTAAGATGCAGTCACTAATGTTCCCTCTGCACATGTTCACCTCAGACCCCTGGCGAGCCATCAGCCCTGTATAATCATTGAGAGGTGTATTTGTGGGTTGTCTCCCCACAAGCAAGAAAACCATGAGGAAGCAGCCCAAGAAAACAAGATCAACCTTTGGTGCACGTGAAGAAGGCTACCTAGGCATACAGGGGAAAGAACAATCTAGAGGGCCAGAAGGCAAAAGACACATGTGGCAGAGGGTGCTCTAAGGAGGTGCAGGATATGGGACGTGTGGGCCATGTGTCAGGGAACAGGACACAGCACAGGGAAGTTACATTTCTCCCCAATCTGCTCTTTTCAGAACTAGATCCACTGCCCAAAGTGAACATTTTGTGATAGATTTGGGGGTTAACACAACTGAGACAGGATCAGATATTTCACACCACATCTACAACAGGATTTTAATATAATCCTTTAGGTTTTCTTACAGACACAGCTCCATCTCCAGGCAGTTTCCCTGCACATGAGAGAAACATGGCCATTTGGGCAGGAACACATTTACGTGCACGCTGATTGCTCCTGAAGCAGCAGCACAGGCCAAAGGTCACCCCTATTTATCATTCTGCCAACTGGTTAAAGCTGGCCAAATTCCCATGGTTTTTCATATCAATTCCAAAAATTATTCGGATGAAAGATATCCAAAGATGCATTCAAATTTGATTTCTTATTTAAAAGGATACATAACTATTCATCATTGAAGCATGCAGAAATGAGTGCTGGGAAATTAAATCAATTGAGGCAGGATTTATGTCACAGGGAAACACTCTGTATTATTCCTTCTAGCATTGCTTGGTTTCTTAGCTAAAATCCTTGCCTAGTCAAATCCCTGGATTATCAATGCTTTGGGATCTTGCACGCAATCAGGGCTTATGGAAACAGTTTCAGTAACAAGCCTGAATTCCCTGGAGATTTTAATAAACACCCCGACCCTGCTGTTTCAAATGACAATGACAACAATCGCTCACCATTTGACCTGCTTCCCTCCCATGATCCCACTTGAACCTTTCGCCTCACAGAGTCCGTTTCCCGTGGAGCCTCAGGAATCCGCAGGTCCTGGCTGCAGACATGCCTTGTCCATTCACAGGCTTGGAATTCGATGCCGAGGATGCCAGTTCCTGTCAAACTAACGAAGAAATATTTGCCAGTCGGACTTCCTCGCGTGAGCCGAGACACTCACAGCAAAAAGGTTCAGGGTCTTTGCAAGCAGATGTTTGGTGATAAATCGGCAGCCCACACACACACGGATTTGATTACAGAGTCAGAATATTCTGCAGTCCAGGTTTTGATTCTGCTGGTTTTCCTTGCAGGTTATTTGTCTCTTGCTGCTGCATTTTGGTCCACCGTATGCCCTGGTTGTTTTCATCATGAGAATCTCGGCCTGGATTGCAAGTTGCGTTTCTCATCCCATTCTGCCGACTTCAGCTATACAGCTCCTGCTGCAGAGACCCAGGATTCAGTGAGGGAAAAGTGCTCTGTTAAGAGTAGGTTCTTTACTCCACCAGTCTCTAAGCAGTGTGCAGCATTTCCCAGTCCTATGAGTAGCTTCCTTCCTCGCTATCTCCAGCTCCCTCTCCCTCTGGCTGTCACAGTGTGCAAGGCAGAGTCTATTCGCTGAGAAGATGTCTAGCTCAGGGTGGGGGAGGGAAGGTCGGTGGGAGGGAAAGGGAAGGGAGGCATTTTGGCAAGTTCCCCATGAATAATTTCTGTTGTCTCTTCTTATCATAACATTCCTTCCTGGAAATTCTGATATCAAGAACATGTGCGTGCCCCATAGGAAATAAATCCAGAAATGTGCTGATATTAGGCTGGGACACTGCACTGGAACTGTGCAATGGGATGAGATGGGAAGGGGTAGTGTTGTGATTACAAAAATATAGTCAGTTTGTTAATAAGAAATGTGGTTTGTTCTTGCCAGGCAACTCTGGGGATCCCAGGCTCCAACTGGCTTATTCCCTCCTCCGAATGGGGAAGAGAAAGCGAGCATCTTATTTTCCTCTGGAGTTTCCATCCAGGAGACTGGTGCCACCACATCCCAGGAGATGTCACCTGCAGTCAGGGGTGCAGGCTTCTCCTTGCTTCTTCTGAGACTGCTCACAGTTTTTCAAAATAATTTATTTTAAAACTAAAGAGGCTGACAGTGAAGAGCCCCAGGGTATAAATATGCAGCATGTCACCAGAGCAATAAGATGAAATGGGGTGACATTCAGTGTCAGAATGAGTACAAGGAAGACAGACTGATAATAACAATAATGCTCTGCCTATCTCTAACACCTTCCACCTAAGGATCTCAAAGTGCTTTACAAACACAGATGAGTTCAGCAACACACCCCTTGTGAGGCAAGTCAGAATCATTCTCTTGTTTAGAGATGGGGAAACAGACACGAAGAGGGGACATGAGTTGCCCAAGGTCACACAGTGAGTCAGTGTCACAGGCAGAAAAACAACTCTGATCTCATGAGCCTCAATCCCCTGATCTAACTAGTTGACCACACACCCTTCAGACACAAAAGAGAACCCAGGAATCCTGACAACCAGTCTCCAGGCTCTAGACAATGCTGCCTATACTCAAATTTGCTCGGGAATGAATGCAGGCAGGGCTTATTCTCAACAAAATGGAATCCTGACTATAGGCCACATGGCAGATTCACATTGAGTAGCACCTTACTCCATGTGAAGTCCTACTGAAGTCAACAAGACTGTTCACAGAGTTATGAGGAAGGGTATCACCGTAAGGGACCATAAGGAGAGGGAGGGTGAATTGGGAGGAGGGGCCAAGGGGGAAGATGTATATGGGAGGATGGCCAAAGGGTAGGGGTAACAAGTACATCCCTTGCTCCTTCTTATGGCTCCTCAATGAGGGGATTAATTGCTAATGAGTTTGACAGGTTCTCTCTTCCATCTCATCTTTTTTACCAAACAGCCCTCCAGGTCCTAGGTCATATGTGATGGCTCCTGGAAACCCTCATGTAAATTAAGCAATGCAAAATCCCTCATGGACATACACAATCCCTCATGGAGGTAGCTTACTGGGTGAAGGAGCAGAGCAGAGGACCTGCCCCCTGCCTCAGGTGGGATGCAGGAACTGGGAGAATCAGAAAAGGCAGAACTCGGTCATAAGAGTCAAGACCCATCACAGTAGGGCCCCAAGCTCCAGTAACAGAATATTAGTATCTCTTGAGGTGATTCATAAATTAGCAACAATACCAGGCCAACATGAAACGTCCTACTGAACATTCACACATAGCTAAGTCTGTACCATGCCTATTATCTAACACCCTTTTCTCATAGATCTGCGATTCTAAATGAAACATACCGAGTTTGGCTACTGTCAATTTTTCTCTCCTCAGGCACCGGACTCTGCCTGGTGTCTTATCACAGGAACAACATCCTCCCGATTTCTGATGGGGCTTGATATGAATAAATCTTTCCTCACTTGGCAGTTACTGTTGCAATTAAACAGCCAACCTCTGTGTCAGCAATCGCTGCGCCTTTGGCTAGTGGCATCAGATACCCTTTTCTACAATAGCCATAATCTGCTCCCCCCCTTGAACACATAAAACAAGTTCTATCTCTGGCACTGCTGGAGGATACACAAAACAGCCCTCAGCCTGGCAGCCTGGATCCGTTCCCCAGCGGGGCCTTGCATGCAAAACTCAATAGCATTTCCATGTTTGCTCTCCTTTGCAGCCCTCAAAAGCGATGTGGTTTTGCCCTTTGACAACACTGACAGAACCCTGCCCCCTAACTCCCTCTCAGCCTGTCTTTTGTTTTTCACTGCTGATGCACATAGCACAGTCTCTGTCCAACATCTTTGTATGTACAAAGCCAGGGAACAAATCCACCGTAATGGACAAAGAATATTCCATTCTCAAGACGTTATGATTGAAATCTAATTACACATCAGAGCATATTCCCAGCTTCAATTTAAAAGTGTTTTAGCTCCAGCTTGATACAATCTCTGATAATTTCCTGTTGAGTTGTCAATAGCTCTGTCTGCATCTCAGTAGTGCAGGATTAGTAGAACTCTAGGAAATATACACACCAGGTAACTTGTAAACTCTTTGGGCTCCCTCTACCACTGATCCGTATGCACAGCTGTGTAGGGAGCAAGGCAGAGAAAACAGAACCCAAAAGAGCCCTGGGCACTTTAGAGATCTTTAACTCAACCAGAGAAAAGTGATTATTAAAGACAGTAACCAATGTGAAGAGTCTTACTTTTGAAGGTACAGACTGTGCCACTGGCACTCAATGCTGACCTGATATACCCTCTACTATTCCAGCCCTGCCCCCCATCAGCTGATGCAACTCAAATTTTATCCACTGCACCCCCTGTTATTCTACTCCAACATAATTTCAAAAGTTCAAAACAAACATTTCATTAACAAAGCAATGATTTTAGTTCAAAAGCAGCACAATTAATTTTATGTTTTTATCTTCAATTCTGTAAAATTCCCTCTTCTGATCGAATAGGTTGTTCAGGAAAATATTTGCTGATTTTATATAATATACAAGCTACTCAGTGACATCACTTTCTGTCAGCAATGCTAATAAATATCATCTTATACTTGGTGAACTCCTTGCACGATGACAAAACCCAAAGCACTTTGCAAAGTATACATACAGGTATTATTTCACTCCTCATGGAAATGCAGCCACTGTGGCGCATTCCACAGCTAGTTAGCAGTGCACAACAATGCTACACAATAGGACATGATGTGAAAAATACTGTTGCCAATTCAAACCACAGAGAGAATGGGAAAAGGTGAAATGTATTTACCTAAACTGGTATCTGCCCCGAATAGAAGGGGTCAACACTCTTCAACTCTTGTGAAAAATACTGTGAAATCTTTAACACGCACATGTGGTCAGGACCATGGTTTTATTTCTCATCTGATAAGTAGCACCTCTAGCAGCACAATATCCTCTAGCACCGCACTGGGGAAGTGAGTCAGTATTGACTCAGAGAGAAAAACCACCCCATACCAAACTGATCTGCCTTAGATATTTATACGGCACATGTCACGTGGGCATCTAACCATCAAAATTCTGAAGAAGCAAAAGGGTCCAGAACCATCGTGTTTCTTCTCACTCTTCACCTGGGTCCCCAGGGGCTGGATTCTCAGGCATGCTAAGGCCACTTTGTGTGGGGCAGGTAGGCCACTTTGTGCTATGGAGGTGCAAAGTAGCCTTAAAGTGGCCAGAGAAGTCCAGCGGAGAAATCTCCCTGTACCAGGGATACTCTCTGCTGGTGGAGATCTGGCAGAAGAAAATCCATCACCTCATGTGTCAGCCATCCCCCAAACCCCAACATAAAGTGTATCCTCCAGCAGTGCAACAATTAGAACTTGTTCTATGTGTTCAAGGGCGGGGCCTGGATAGGACAGGAAAGAAGGGGATGTAATGGAGTGGCGCTCCACGATGCCCAATCCTCCACTGGCATAAGGTCCCTGACTCACCTTACATCAGCGGTGTAAGTCAGGGCTGCCCGTGTGCACCCCTGACTTGCACTGGGGCCAGACAGCTGTGAAGCAAGGAGCTAAACAAGTTCCTTGCAGTCCCCTCCTCCACCTCATTCAAATGGAGCTCAAAAGGAGCAGAGACTCAAGCTTAGGGGGAGAAGAGGGAATTTACATGTTCAAAGAGATATATCTTTATTTTCAAGCCTTATTAGTGGGGAAAGGCTCTGTCCAAAATGTATATCCCTATACTCTGACCTAAACACAGCCAGGCTTGGTCAGATCTCTCCTACCAGTGGCAAGGTTCTACCCCAGCTCCTCATTGGCTACCTAGTTTCTGTGCAGTGTAGTTGCCATAGAAGGTCCTGGCCTATGGGTCGGTGGGTCTCTGACACAGCCAGGTCCCATTCTATTAAGGGCTCCATAGACTAGGACTAGGGCTTTGACATCTGCTCTGGTGCAACTGGGAGTTAGTGGAGCATGTGAGGAACCAAAGGGATGTGTTCTCCCAGCACTTGTTGCTGAGGCTCACTGCTGTGAGTGGCACTCACTTCAGCCTTCACGTGTGTTCAGCCCCAGGTAAAACATGTTGTAGTTCTAACCAATACCACTTCCTGAAAAAGCCCTTTCCTTAGAGACCTCCCAGTCAAGTGTTGCCACAGCTCAACTTGGCTTAGCTAGTGAGATCTAGCGAGTCCCCAGCCAAGGCTGCAGGTATAGCAGAGAGAGTGTATTTCTCAAGTCCCGCTTTACATGGCAAAAATTTCTGCTGTGTAGATGGGGTTAAACTCTGACTTTAATGCTCTACAGCAGGTTACAGGGGACTTTTCAGAAATCAATTAAACACTGAACTTGATTGAACATGAAGGTCCAGGGGAGTTGGGGGATGGCTGGATAATGAAATAACTATAAAGCTAAAAGCAGTTAAAGGTGATGGATGAGGGCACAACGGCAGTGGGAACAGCTGAGGCACCCACTTCAGAGACTCTGGGTCTGAATCCCAAAATAACGCATTCCTAAAACTGAGCCTGCTGCTAAAATCCCTATTTCCCCTGCCCCTGAGGTCTGGGTGCAGGCATCAGGCTTGCTTGGTTTGGAAGTCTCGGCTCATTTCTCCTTCATGACTCTTACACAGATTACTCCTGAGGGAATTCTGCGCCAAAAAATAAAAAATTCTGTGCATAATATTTTAAAATTCTGCAAGTTTTATTTGTCAATAAAGACATATGGAAGCTCCAGCATGGCAGTGGGAGCCCAGGCCACTGGCTGCATGAAGGTGGGAGATCACCCTGCAGCCCCTCCCCTGCCATGGGACATGGACTCAATGGTGAGGCTACACCCAACCCTGACACAGCACAAGGGCTGGGCCTGCCCCCAAAATACCCCGGGG